ATATATTTATTTAATTTAATTAATTCATTTGTGTATTTCTATTTACTTATATGTTTTCTTAGAGAGTCACTATTTGACTGGAATGTGGACAGAGCGATAAGGGGAATGGTTTTGGGACATGACCCATGAGCATAACAACCTCTTTTTATGACATGAGCAATTCACATCACTCTGCAACATTGCTCTGACATGGTCTTTACTTCTAAGGGTGAATATGGGCATTGGCAGTTTACGTTTTTGCTTTTAATTCACCATGAAATCAAATTGGACAATTCTTTTTTTTATGGAAGGGTAAATATTGGAAGGGTTATTATAAATGATTTATCCATGCACATCATTGTTTTTTAAAAATTCAAGTGCCCTTAATCTTTGATCAAAATAACTTTCCCTCTTTCTTGCTACTGTATGGCATTCCTTCTCTGATGACGTGTTCACTGATGTGAGGGCGGGACAATAACCTCACTCCTCCAGCAACCTGTCAATCACCTGAGATCACAGCAATAGCAAACAACAATGATCCATTGATCCGATCCATTGATCCAATCAATTCAAATCAAGCTACATTTTTTTTTTCCTCAAGAAGCCGTTTCACTTTAATATACATCGCAATAGTGAAGAAAGTATGATCGCAACTTCTGTTTCATGCCAACTTGAACTCCGCATCTGTGTCAAAATCTATGTTGGGGAAGCTACTTTAAAATCGTAAAAGCTGCTCGTTATTTAAAATAGCTAAAATACAGTAAATCTAGCTACTAAAAGTAATTAACTTGTGTATGTTTACTTTAAATACAACTGATAAAGTGAGACAATGTGCTAATCACTTTAACCCTTTGATGCACAACATGGGTCTAAATAGACCCGACTGAGTTTTCATTTTCTATATCTTTGCAAGAAATTAATTTCATCATTCACTATTCCAGGTATTCCTCAATTAACTTGTTTTAGATCATTACAAATCCTTATTTAAATGTTTCCTTTCTTACTTTTCGAATAAAAATAATTTTTGTGTGACTACCCTTCTAATGCGCAACATGGGTCTAAAAAGACCCGTATTCTTGTTTCTTTGCTGAATATTTGAAAGAAATGTATTTTATCATTTATTAATCCAGGTATTGATTAAATATCTTGTTTTTGACTTCCACAAATCATTATTTTTATTTTTTATTTCTTTCTTTATAAACAAACACGGTTTTTGTATTTCTACATTAATTTTACACACATGGGTCAAAAATGACCCATATAGGAACCTTTGATATTTATAAATAGTATAAATATATTTACTGCAGAAAACTATTCACCTGACATTCACATTTCACACTTCAACATGGCTGCTTTTGTATATTTCATGCATGTAAGTTTTATTTAATACATTTTTTGTCACAGAAAATATTTGATATTTTGTGAAAGACATCTAGATATAGCCTACTATTTGATTGTTTAGGCTGAGGTTGACCTTGAAATCCATTACTACTGCAAAAGAGAAACATGTCCAATACTATTAGCTAGCTCTCGGTCGACATATTCTTTTTTTATCTAATGTTAGCTAGGTCAACAAAATAAAAGTTGCAATAGAAAGTTATATTTACAAGTATATACAGGTCCTTCTCAAAAAATTAGCATATTGTGATAAAGTTCATTATTTTCCATAATGTAATGATCAAAATTAAACTTTCATATATTTTAGATTCATTGCACACCAACTGAAATATTTCAGGTCTTTTATTGTTTTAATACTGATAAATTTGGCATCCAGCTCATGAAAACCCAAAATTCCTGTCTAAAAAAATTAGCATATTTCATCCGACCAATAAAAGAAGTGTTTTTAATAAAAAAAAAAAAAAGTAAACCTTCAAATAATTATGTTCAGTTATGCACTCAATAGTCAGTACTTGGTCGGGAATCCTTTTGCAGAAATGACTGCTTCAATGCGGCGTGGCATGGAGGCAATCAGCCTGTGGCACTGCTGAGGTGTTATGGAGGCCCAGGATGCTTCGATAGCGGCCTTAAGCTCATCCAGAGTGTTGGGTCTTGCGTCTCTCAACTTGCTCTTCACAATATCCCACAGATTCTCTATGGGGTTCAGGTCAGGAGAGTTGGCAGGCCAATTGAGCACAGTAATACCATGGTCAGTAAACCATTTACCAGTGGTTTTGGCACTGTGAGCAGGTGCCAGGTCGTGCTGAAAAATGAAATCTTCATCTCCATAAAGCTTTTCAGCAGATGGAAGCATGAAGTGCTCCAAAATCTCCTGATAGCTAGCTGCATTGACCCTGCTCTTGATAAAACACAGTGCACCAACACCAGCAGCTGACATGGCACCCCAGACCATTACTGACTGTGGATACTTGACACTGGACTTCTGGCATTTTGGCATTTCCTTCTCCCCAGTCTTCCTCCAGACTCTGGCACCTTGATTTCCGAATGACATGCAATGAGCAACAGTCCAGTGCTGCTTCTCTGTAGCCCAGGTCAGGCGCTTCTGCCGCTGTTTCTGGTTCAAAAGTGGCTTGACCTGGGGAATGCGGCACCTGTAGCCCCATTTCCTGCACACGCCTGTGCACGGTGGCTCTGGATGTTTCTACTCCAGACTCAGTCCACTGCTTCCGCAGGTCCCCCAAGGTCTGGAATCGGTCCTTCTCCAAAATCTTCCTCAGGGTCCGGTCACCTCTTCTCATTGTGCAGCGTTTTTTGCCACACTTTTCCTTCCCACAGACTTCCCACTGAGGTGCCTTGATACAGCACTCTGGGAACAGCCTATTTGTTCAGAAATTTCTTTCTGTCTTACCCTCTTGCTTGAGGGTGTCAATGATGGCCTTCTGGACAGCAGTCAGGTTGGCAGTCTTACCCATGATTGCGGTTTTGAGTAATGAAACAGGCTGGGAGTTTTTAAAAGCCTCAGGAATCTTTTGCAGGTGTTTAGAGTTAATTAGTTGATTCAGATGATTAGGTTAATAGCTCGTTTAGAGACCCTTTTCATGATATGCTAATTTTTTGAGACAGGAATTTTGGGTTTTCATGAGCTGTATGCCAAAATCATCAGAATTAAAACAATAAAAGACCTGAAATATTTCAGTTGGTGTGCAATGAATCTAAAATGTATGAAAGTTGAATTTTTATCATTACATTATGGAAAATAATGAACTTTATTACAATATGCTAATTTTTTGAGAAGGACCTGTATTGTCGCTGTTAGGCAGAAAACTTGTACCTCCATATTAATTTTTATTTGTGGTCATAAATCAATGCTATCGGTCACATAAGCCGTCGTGTGGTGGCGTTCTGGTGCACTATGGCTGCTGTCGCATCATCTGGGTGGATGCTGCACATTGGTGTTGGGGAGATCCCCCTACAGTTGCACTACACTACAGTTCAATTTCAGTGTTATCGGTTATATGTGTGTTATGTGTGACAAAGTGGCCAATAAACATATTTCAAGTGTTACAGTAAATGTGTTGATCTAAACAACTGTGACATTGGTTATTTTAACAAAAAGTTTTCTTTATTTTTTTGTTTTATCACACTTGCATAGATGGGTCATTTTAGACCCATGTGTGTAAACTTGATGTATTTACGCAAAACCTAGGAAATATTCAAATATGAATTTGTGATAATTGAAAACAAGATATTTTGAATATTCATAAATCATGAAATTTATAGATCATGAAATATTAAATGCTCAAATAAAGTGATTTCAAAAGGTGAAACAAAAAAATGCCAAGCCATGCATGAAATAACATAGGAAATGAATACGGGTCTTTTTAGACCCATGTTGTGCATTAGAGGGGGTATCCATAGCTTGCGCATCAAAGGGTTAACTAACTGAATATTGAATGAATCAGTGACTCGGTGATTGATTTACATTTTTATTTTTTTTATTTACAAAATTTATTCAATCTATTCAACACTACATACTATGTTCCAGGAAGGTGTTTTGATTATTACCATACACTTTTAAAAATAAAAAAAAGGTTAAAATGGAAAAAGGTTTTTTAAATTATTAACATGTTCTTCACACTAAGAAAATGGTTCTACCTGGGCTGCAATGTGATATTAAATGCTTTTGTAAGCAATTTAGTCAAACTGTTTTTGTTGCTACTGCCATGTTACTGAAAAATGTAGCCAAGTTAACATTTAGCTGCTTCAAAAATTAAATATATTCTGCACAGCATTGGGATGTTTTTTTTCTCTTAAGTTACACATTGGAGATTTAGATTAACCAAAGTCGTATGTAATTGAAAATAGTGCCAGAATTCATTCTGTTCTGTCCGAGTTGAAAAATCCCAACATAGATTCTAAAATATTGTGTGTCAAAGAGTGAGGACTCATGAATCCCTGTCTTTGTTCTCGAAATGTCATACCATGTTACAGTACCGTTTCCTTCAGGGAAGAGTCTCAGACTTTGTGTGTGCGGGGGTTGCACTGCCAGAGCTCCGGGTGACAGAACAAAGAATGTTCTATTCTATTCTATTCTCTTCTGTTCTATTCTTTTCTGCCCTTTTCTAAAACAGAACCCACCATCCTGTTAGACCTTTTGCCCACATGTTTGTTTGGTGTCACCTTTTGGCTGCCAGAACCAAGGCTGCCAGAACAAAATTCTTTAGTTTAGAGATAATATATTGAGTGTTGGTACTGTATAATGCACCCACCTGTTCTATAGTAGTTTCTACATTATATGACCACACTAACGGTCTCCATTTGCAGTATATTTGTTGTTCAGTCTAATTGTTTTGATGATCAAGGTCTGTGTATGACTGTGTGTGAAGTTACATATTAAATCCTGTAGAATGTTATTCATTAAACTTTTTTTTAAGTGTAATGAAATAAAAAATGAACTATACAGTACATACCCAGTAAGCCAGATAATACTGCTTGACAGTAATTCATGTTTTATGTTTAATTTACGATCTCATTATCAAGAGTTGCTTTGATCATGATCACATACACTTTAAATCAGTGCTTAACTAATTAAAATGATTTATTTTTTGTTGTTCTTTTTATAGACTTTGGCAACTGCAGCAGAGAAATTCCAAATGGAGCATCAATGGAAAGATGAATTTGAAGTAAGTTCTTCTACAACACATGTGTTCTGAACACTTACAAGGTGCTACAGCACATACAATTACCGTACATTCTATTTCACCCCCCCCCCCCCCCCCCCCCCCCCGGATTCACAGACAAGGCTTAAAGGGTTAGTTCACCCAAAAATGAAAATTCTGTCAGTAATTACTCACCCTCATGTTGTTCCAACCCCGTAAGACTTTCGTTCATCTTCGGAACACAAATTAAGATATTTTTGATTAAATCTGAGAGCTGGATCACTCCTCCATAGGGTTCTTAAGGGATCGAAGCTGGCCGGCCCAAAAGTTATGAAAGACATCGTTAAAATAGTCCGAGTGACTACAGTGGCTCAATCTTAAGTTTATCAAGCGACGAGAATACTTTTTGTGCGCAAAAAACAAACAAAAATAACGACTTTATTCAACTAATCATTTCCTTCTCTGTGGGCCGTGATATTTCACGTGATATTGCGCAAAGCTTCTGTGTTGCACGTCACACGCAGGCTCACTATTGGCCGACGCTGGTCATGTGTGTGATGTGTGACGTACAACCTAGAAGCTTTGCGTAGTTTCACTACGTGAACTATCACGGCCCACAGAGAAGGAAATGATTAGTTGGATAAAGTTGTTATTTTTGTTTGTTTTTTTGCGCACAAAAAGTATTCTCGTCGCTTGATAAACTTAAGGTTGAGCCACTGTAGTCACTCGGACTATTTTAACGATGTCTTTTATAACTTTTGGGCCGGCCAGCTTCGATCCCTTAAGAACCCTATGGAGGAGTGATCCAGCTCTCAGATTTAATCAAAAATATCTTAATTTGTGTTCCGAAGATGAACGAAAGTCTTACAGGGTTGGAACAACATGAGGGTGAGTAATTAATGACAGAATTTTCATTTTTGGGGGAACTAACCCTTTAAGTCTTGTCCCAAACTAAAATGCATGTTTGAGCTGTTTTAAGTTGTCAGTAGCCGCGTTTCCATTACCCTTCAAATTGCGCAAATTGAAATTGCGAATTGAAATTACGCTCAATGGAAACACGTCAATTTCGCAAAAACTCCCATTTATCGCAAAAAAGTTTTTACGCTCGCATGAGGAGGTTTTTCAGGCAATTCGAAAAAGGAATATTTCGCAAAACTGCAATGGAAACAGTTTTTGCGCATTTACAGTCACCTGACTTAGAAGACGCGGTGTGTTTGGGGTCCGTCCGTGGTATACGCAAATAATAATGGGCTAATAATTATCATCATTATTATAACATTTATTAGGCTACATATTTAGAAGATGCTTTTATCCAAAAAAAGGAACAAAGCAATTCGTCAAATGTCATTCATAATGGTTAGACAAAATAAAATAGTAATAAATAATAAAATAAAACAATCATGCGCGCTTTCATGATCTCCGTGAAAAAAGCTAAAGCTTGAAATGTCCACTTTAAAACGAACAAATTCGAATCGAAAGCTAATACCTTCTGATTATGTAATCCGTATGAATGGTGCATTTCTCTCTAAAGGTGCATTCGCGCGGCGCGCCTCAGCGGAGATGGAGATGTTTTTAGCCGACACTAATTTAGAAAACAATAGTTTATTAATAAAATTAAAATGCCTCGTTATTCTTTCAGACACATTTATTATCATTAGCCTATAACTCACCTAAATCACCTTTCTGTAGGCTGTGGTTCCAGAGACATAGGCCTAAATATGGCTCTTCTCATTCAGCACTGCGGGAAAAATATAATTTTCAGGTTCTAATTTGGCCTTAGAAAACCATTAAAATCTAAAAAAAAATTGTATTAAGTTGGGAATATTTTAAATGTTTAGTAAAGGGGCAAAAAGTCATAAACAAACATCTGAAATTTAGTCGATTTTTTTTTTTTCGCAGCATTTGTGTACAGTTTAAATTTTAAAAAAAAAATTGGTGTTCAACTTTGCATTTAAAAAACAACAACCACCGTTCATTTTTCGTTTTGCAATACGGGTTAAATAAGGAAAAACGAATGGACACAAATGTACACTGACCGTTTGGACAGAGTTCTTTATTAAATTCATAAAAGAAACAATAGGCTACAGGAATACTGGATTCTAAACCTCAAAGAAATGCCACAATCAGACCTCGGAGCAGAAATGAGGGAGAAACACCCAGAAACTCCTTATGCCGTTCGCAGTATACGGGTCTTTCCCTGCCATTAATGCTTGGATAACACACCACGTCTCCTTCTATTAATAATAATGTCTAGTGTGGTGGTGCGGTGGCTGTGATATAGGGATATAGGCTATAAACCTACCCGTTGATGTTTAAATGACTTATCGCGAGAGGGGAAAAAGTCGCATAACATCAGTTAATGGAAACGCCGTCATTTCGCAATAGTTTTTTATCGACATTTAGAAAAAATCGCAAAAGTTTTGCGCAAATCTGTAATGGAAACGCGCCTAGTGTCATTGTTTTGTCTCAAGATGCACACCAGTATAGCTTTTTTTGAAGGCACGTTTATAACGTTCCCAACCTTTTTAGCCTTAAGTTACCTCACAACCCCATCAATAAGGCTCAAGTACCACTTCATCAACACCCAACCAAAGAATCAATGTTGTGGGTAAAAAAGACTAGACAAAATACAAATGTATAAAATCTTTATATTTTAAATCCAACATTTGATGGAAAAACAAACACTTTTATTTTCAAATAAAAAAAGACACTATAACCAGTAGAAGGCGACAGAGTAGCACTTATTGGCTCATATTAGCCATTTCCACTCCTTAAAGCTCCAGTCCGTAACTTTTTTAAGTTAAAAATAATCCAAAATAATTATATTAAAAAAAAACTTATTCTGCCAGTGGTCAAAACTATCTGCTTGCCATAGCTAGATTCAAAACGGTTAGCTTGTAATAATGATTTTAATTCCAGTGGTACTGGTGGGTTTCCGCGGGAGATTCGAGCATGTCTTTGCGTCATGACGTCACACCCGGACACATAAAGAAGGAGTTTCGGCTAGCCGGCTATACTGCGCGTGACGAGATGTTTAGATGTATAGGCTTTTCTCGCAGCACTTTACATAATTAAACTTATGGCATCCAGAAAGATCCAAACAACAATCATCAGTGTCAACTGGAGATTCAGCAGTTATAAAACCCAAAAGACTTCGTACTTCGGATTTAAGGTGGCTAGAGAAAGAGAAAGAAACCGTCTCATGCGAACACAAGGATTTAAACATCGGCGGGGCTTTTGAAAAGTGCGTGAACTCCGTGTTTTGAAGGGGTTCAAAACGGAAGAAGAGACGGCTTTTTTCTGCTGAACAAGTAAGACATTTCAATAGTTCAATCGCGTAACAGTAACGTTACGTTTTCTTAATTCACACAGTTATGGAGTTTCCTTTGTTGTGCCTTTCTCGTTTTGCTATTATGGAGAATATGAATTCTGAACTACACAGGTAACCATAAAACACATTAAATTTAACATTAGTCACGCAATGCTGATGTGATGTTGTTAACATGAACAATTTGAGAACAAAGTAGGCTATAATTTGCACGGTTGCTGTAAATCGCGTTGATTAAATCTAACGAAGCTTATCATGTCGAATGCTTTTTCCCCCTTAGTTGGTCAGAACAAAAATGGATGTTACTTACTTGTTCAGAAGACATTTTCTTATGAAAATTCTTATGTTGGTCAAACTTTCAAAAAGTGAATCTGTGATTCTGTATGACAGTATCCACACAGCGCGGTGACTGACAGCACCACTCGCCTCAAAGCACTGTGTTCATCCGCGCTGTTTCATGCCGATTTACAACCCATGTAAAGATGATAATTCCTAAACACTGCAGTTACAGATTTCGAACAGAGAGATGGCGACAAAGAGGAAAAGCTACGGACTGCAGCTTTAATAAAGGTTTTTTTCTTTTTTTTTTATACAAGTTTTGCTTTTGAATTTTTATATTTTTTTTTGTACTAATGCATGAAGTAGTAAAAGTCCCAAAGTCTCACGAAAAACAATAAATTTTCATCAAATTGTGATTGAATTACATAGAAAAAAAAGCACCGAGCGCTCTTTAATCAGTGAAGCTGTCAGTCAGTTCAGCGCAAGTTCACTGATTTTTTGTGAGCATATAGGACTGCCACTAAACAGAAACTCTTTTAGTGTTTTAAGGGATATTGGATGGTAACTTAAACACCTCAGATTGGCTATTACTTTCAACAGACATGCCTGTGATAGATTACAATATTTAACGTTGCAATCACATTGTAAATAGACGCATTTGCAGCGATTAATGCGCCAAGCTGGGGCGATTGATGAAATTCCTGGCCTGCCTATATGCGGAAAATAAACCAAGCAAAATCTAAATCTTTCTGAATCCAAATAAACTCAGGGATGGTTATCGGAAGGTTGCTGCTTTAAGCAAATAATAATCCACCTTGAGCTACCGACTTAACCCAAGTAGTATTTGCTGTACTATGTTAGTGCTACTATACAAATAAATTGAAACTGAACTGAATACATAATTGAATCTGCCATGCATCCTACATTTCTAGGGTATAGTTTGCACTTTGCATAATACATTCTTGCATTAAAAATAGCTAGATAAAATAGAATGCAGTGATCTCAAGACTTTGGCTATTTTTAAATTGACATGCTCAAAAACAGTGAGGATGCAATACAAAAGGCCAAAGACATCTGCCTGAATGTGTCTAGGTGTAGCCTGGTGCTTTAAAGAGCATCAATTTAAATAATTTTCTGAGAGGGTTTTACTGTAAAACAGCCAACTGTCAGCATACTAATTAAAACACTGCTGTACAAATATAAAAATAAACTAGCCAGCCCACCTAATCAACTTGCTGGCTGTTGGATGACTAGTCAACCATCATGACCCATATGTACTCACAAGTGACTTGTCACTACGCAACCATGTGACTAGGTAACATGCATAACATCATATCCTACATGGTTCAGTTAAAAAAAAAAGTATCAGTTTGCATCCTGCTCATTGCCTTATCTTAGGCAGCGGAATACATCTTAGATGACTGACTTGTTCACAAGAATAAAATCTGACATGTTATGCAGATTTTTAATTAGATCATTCCAAATGAATGCCAGTAGGAGACATTTTTGAAATTGATAATACCTCCACTCGATTTCATTGCTTAAATGCTTTGGTGTGCTAGACCTCTTCGTTTAATTAAATGAAATCAAGATTCATTACATTAAATGGAAACAAGTGAATAGATATATTAACAAATAAATAAATAAAAAATCTGATTGTACAATGGCCAGATTGTTTTTCCTCTGTGTGTATTTGAGTTTGTATTTAAGTGAGAGAATGTGTTGCAGCTTAATGGATCTAACTTCACTACCCACACTCCCTGCAGATGTCTAAAGATTTGATTTCACTGAATACACATTTTGCATTTCTCTCGTGGATTTATTTTTACTGTAGACACACATATCCTCGCACATACCCACCATATGCCGCGAAGACCTTTAGCCTTAACAGCAGAGCGGTTTAACATCAGCAGGTTATCCTGACCACTTGCTGTAAAACCTGCCATGACCAAGCTTTCTTTAGCTCTCCCTAATGCATTTCACACTTGCTACGAAGCAAATGTCTGACAGTTCAGATCTGTGGAACACATGTTGAATGCATGCTTGGCTTAGTACAGTGATACTGTCACTGTATGATTTGCATGATGGGTAGATTTTCTGACGACACTTCAGAGTAATACTGTACGGGTATAAAGATTTGGGCTGGTATACACTCTTAAAGATAAAGGTTCTTTATTGACATCTATGGTTCCATGAAGAACCTTTAAAATACATGGAACCTTTCCATTTTACAAAAGGTTATTTAAGTTTAGATTAATAAAATGGTTCATCAATAGCACAAAATGGTTATTCTATGGCAATGTTGTGAAAACCAGACCAAAAAATCTCAGGTTTGAACCCCATATTAGCAGTAATACTGTTTATGTTTATTATCTGAACTTTTGAAAAATTTCAATTTTTTCTTTAAATTTTCTTATTTTTCCTCTTTCTCTGCAGGACAATGATATAGTTTACTTTAATGCCAAGGATAATGTGAGTATATAATTCAACTCTTCACAGACAGACTTCAGCTCACAGACACACTTAGCGTTTCTTTCAAGCACAGATACTATATCAAACATGAATGCCGCGAGCTCTTCGGTCCAGTTATGACCATGCGTTAGTGAGCTTATGAATGAGTTATTTAAGACAGTCAAGAGATGATCAGAATGTATCTTCTCCTCGGTTGACGCACGCTTGGCTGGTGGATACACACTTTTAGTGCGCCATATATCTCAACCGCCAATTAGTGTGTGTAAAACACATGGAGGGAGCTTGTGCATTAGATTGTGTAAAAGGCGGAAAGAACAGGAAGAAGGAACATGTAGAGAAAATTAGGTTTCATCAGTGTGCAAAGCACTAGTATGGAATAGATAGAGTACCTGCCATACAAAGCGTTATAAGATGATTATATTGATAGATGAATTGGCAAGAAATTTATTTTGATATTGATATTTGATGTAAACTGTACCAAACGTTATTTATTTGTTTGAATATATTTTGTTGGGTTTTGATTAGTGACAAACTGATCTATCAGGTATTGTTATCATTTACTCATCCACGTTGTTCAAAACCCATACAACCTTTTCTTTTGTGGAACACAAAAGGTGACTCCAATTTGTGAATTTGTAAACATTCACTGATGCTCAAGAAGGCAACACGATGCATAAAGAGCTGGGGGTGAAAACTTTTGAACAGGATGATGATGTGCAAGGTCTTATTTTGGTTAAAGATTATATTTATTCATTTAGTACTGCCCTCCAGGAGCTACAGACTTACATGTTTCACAGAAGACAAAAAGAGTCACATTTACCCTAATCATCCAATAAAAAACTAAATGACACCCCCTGTTGCCTTCTTGTGCATCAGTGAATGTTTTCACCTTTTGTAATAGTTGTGTATGACTGAGTCCCTCAATTGTCCTCAGTGTGAAAATATGGATCTCAAAGTCATACATTAACAGCTGGAAAGGGTTCAAATATGCAGAAGATACTGGAAAACCAAAGAATGTGCAGGACCTGGAGGATATTTCTGAAGAAGAGTGGGGAGTTTAACTGCTCATGACAAACAAGGGACTTATTCAGGACAGTACTAAATAAAAAATAGCATGCGTTTTTTATGATCCGTATTATTTTGTTCAAATTATTAACATTGTCACAGATTCTGCAAGCTGTTAAACATTTGAGCACAACTGTGTGTGTGTTTATTATAATATATATATATAATTATAAAATAAAAAAAATATAGGCTTATTGCATTAAAAATAATATCAATCTGCTGTACCTATTATACCAGAGTTGTTTCTGTTGTTGTTTTTCCTTTCAGCTTGATGCCAATGAAACAGAAGGAAGGAAAAACCGGATCAGACCTGAATTTAAAGAAGACCCGTCATTCAAAAACCGCTTCACCTCCTACAACTATACGGGTGTGCATATCCCTACGGACATATATGACGGCTGTAAGTAACTCCCCCACCTCCCACAGACACGCTTCCATAGCGCTCTGCCGGCTCCGCCGTAACATATTATCTACTGCTGGGAATCTGATGAGATGCTCTGCTGCTGATTGCTTTGGATGTCAGTTAATAAAAGTGTGTCTTTGTGAGAGCTTTTTGAGGATAATTATATAATCTATTTGACAGCAGCAAAGACTCTCAGGGGAAACTTTTGTCAGAATAAGTGCAGGTGCGCTTGTTTGGATAAACCCACGGTATGCGTGCGCATCTATTTAAACTCTATATGTGCTTTCTCAATGGTTTTTAAGCAGGGATAGAAGGCTGGCCAAGCCATAGTGTCTCAGTTGGCCTGCTGGGATAGCGTCTTGCTCTTTGGCGTTATACGGCCCTTCCCTATTGACCTTGTCATACACACACCCATGCACACAAATGGAAGGCAAATACATTCGGGTAATTACTTTGGCCATTGTGCCCTTTGGTAAACAGAGTAGCAGGCTATTTGAAATTACATCAGGTCGGACAATTGTGCTGTGGTGAGCAGAATGTTATATGGGGGATATGCATTTGCTTGCTTTTTAAATAAAGAATACCAAATCAGACCAAGTGATGCTTCAGTCTCTAAGCAGTGAGTTAAAGTCTTTCCAACACACACTGGCAGAGGTGGCTGCCCCTGTAATTTAAGAAGGGAGTTTCCTTGTCACTTGTCTTGTAATTGTATACCATTTTATGCAATTATCTGTGAGTCATTTCCTAATCCTATATTGCTATTTCTAATTTTATGTGTGAGTCATTTACAAAGGCTTTTTGGGTAGGGTTGTTTCATCTGGTTATCTGTAGTTGTGAGCTTGTTGGTTATTAATTATTTGTTAATTTTGTGATTCAAGCACGTGTTTTGGGCCTTTAAAGACTTAGGGATCCCCCAGACTCAGTAAATAATATTATTATATTCAGGAATGTAATTCTTCTGTTTATATTGATTTCCACATTTTCCAACCTGAGAAGTATGACCCACGTAAAATACATAAATCCGAGAATTTTTTTTTTTTGCTGTGTTTGCTTAATTAGGCCGTGAGACAGAGGGTTGATTGGTACCATTTTGAGGGATTAAACCGCATGGTGATTTTTGTGTAGGTATGACCCTGTATTTGAAAAATGTGTGATAGCATTAGATTCAAGGTAGTTTTTGGTTACGGAGGACGATTTTCAAACATATGTCAAGAAAAAGGATAAATTAATTTGTCTTTAAATAAATTTTAAATTTTATAAAATTTTTAATAATTTTTTATAATTTTTTATAAATTTTTATTTTTTAAATTTTAAAATTATTAATTTGTGTTGATTTCTAATGAAAGCTACCATGGATTGGATGCTATCACACATTTTCCAACACTAGAGATGTGTACCTTCATGAAAATCAAAAAGAAATTTAATCCCTCAAAATGGTACCGGTAGCCCAAATTTGGGGTCCCGTCTCATGGCCTAAATATACATTTATAAATACAAGAAATACATGTAGTGCCTATATAAAATGCAGCATTTTTGTTCTTTCTCAAATTCACGTGATTTACTTGGGTCATCCTTCTCTGGTTGGAAAATACGGAAATCATAGAATACTGTATTATTATTATAATTTATTATTATTATTATTATTATAGCTGATCACATACCTGTATATTAAAAGTAAATATTAATATTTAAAATAGGTTTTTGTCATTGAGGTCTTGAGGGATATTTGGATATGCAAATAGAAACATTATTTTTTTGTGAATAATGACTTCAGCTTTGCACATCTTTTACAAGTCGCATACATACTTTTTATATAATTTTTGCTGATTTGTTTGCCATTTCTTTGCCATTCATGTTAATTGTATGGATAAGATGAGCAGGAAAATCTGCAAAATAACTTCTAATAAATAGGCTGAGTAAATGATGGCAGAATTCTCATTTCTGGGTGAACTTTAAACTTTAATATTTACTGTAATAGTGGGAGAGATGGAAAATAACCAAGTGACAGAAAGAGACATAGATGGGAGGCAAAAAGGCTAGAGCTGTAATTGCTGTGGTCTTGGGTCTGACCTGACCTTGTGCCAGAAGGAAACATGATACGTGTGTAGAATCGAGCTTGTGGCCAGACTCATACTCTGTGCTGAAACACAGTTGTGTGTGAGTAATGTCCAAAATTACTGGAGTGTCTATATGTCCATTAATTCCAAAGGTTGTTCACTCTATGTAAGGCAGTGAGAACCTAGTGGCTTTTCTACAGCGACCCTAAAAGCAAGGTTTGCACGCATCAACCTCTATCAAACACTCAAAGACCACAAATAGCCTTAAACCACCGGCACACACACACACACACACACACACACACACACACACACACACACACACACACAGAAATAACACGGATCTGCCACTCCCGCCGGGGAGAAAATTGGATTTCCGTGGATAAAGTAGTACATCGTTTAGGGGTTGCTAAGGGGGGGTGGGAGATCCCCCTCTGCCAGAGTCAGCCAACACCAAAAAAAAAACGTAACAATGATTAAGAGAGACAATTCACAGTGGGTGCCAGCAAATTTCCTCTCCTTCACATCCAAAAGGATGGATGTAATAAGTGGAGGTTGAGGAAATAATCAATACTTCAAATTAAATTACTTCAGAGATATTTTATTTCACAATTTTTATTTAAAAACCAAAATGGTTAGATTCAATTTGGATGGATGGATGGATTGATAGATGGATAGATAGATAGATAGATATTTGTTCATAATATTTGAAATCAATTTTGAACATGACCTGATTTATTGTGCAAGCTGCAATTTCTCTCTAGTCATTGATCAGGTTTGTGTATTTTTTTGGAGAAAAAAGCTTAAGAAAATGTGCCTTGCATGCTTCATTTCCTCATTTCCTTCCTCTCTTTTCTTTTCTCAGCCCTGCCCTCTCGCCTCTGTTGCATGCCAGCCAATAAAAATAAAGTTATGGTTGTTATAACACAGAATTTTTCATGCTTCATTACAATAACTGTTGACACACAGGCTGTCTTCTCACCTGATTAGCATATCTCCACTAGCACTTCTGACTGCCTATCAGCACGCAGCCTTTTCAGAAGCAAAATGTTTGATAGGATGATTATAGGTTTCCATGGTTCCCTTAGTCATGATGTAATAAAGTCAATCAGCTTGTTTGCGGCTGAGGAGATGAAGAGCTCTCAGTGTACAGCGCAGAATCATTCTGTTAACAGCGGTTGAGGTGAGGGTAAATTACACCTCTTTCTGTCTCTCCTCCTCTCTCTGGACTCTATAAGTCACTATAAGCACCATGACCTCTGTAAATAGATTCAAGTATTCAAAGTATGACCGTGAATCATGTGTTGTGATAAAGGTAAAGGGAATGTAATAATTTAACTAAATCAGTAAAATATTAATCAATACATTGTGTGTTATTGCCTGTGTACTCCAGCCACCATTGTTTTGAATGAGCTGAACTGGACTGAAGCATTGGAAGATGTCTTTAAGAAAAACCGAGAAGAGGATCCAACGCTACTATGGCAAGTGTTTGGCAGTGCTACTGGATTAGCTCGCTTTTACCCAGGTAAGTGCTTGTGTCGGTTTAATTCAGAACTATTCACACATGCACATTACAATCAGAACTCTCACACACACACGCACAGCCTCCTCCCTCCCTTTGCAAGACTCTGCTGTCTCTAATTGGTAAACATAGCATGTAGTCCCAGCTCAAATTACACCAAATTTTCATAACAAATTATAAGATCAAATATCTCAGCAGAGGGCTCATTGTATTCTTCTGAAATTTAATGATGACAGAGGAGAAAAGTAATGAGGTGCTCAATTCATTTTCATTACTTTCAGAAAAAAAAAAAAACCTGGTGCATATAAACCGTGCATTAGCCACTGTTGAACCTCTATCCCTTAATGGCTTTATAAGAGTTTGTTGTGTGTTGAGGAATAATTCAACCAAAATTATGTCACTCTCATGTTTTACCAAATCTGTGTGACTTTTTTTTCTTTTTCTTTTGTATAGCACTAAATATGAATTTTGGAAGAATTTTCTCACTATCCTTTTTTTAATATAATAAAAGTGAGTGGGAACTGGGGCTGTCAATCTTCAAAAAAGGACGCAAAAAAGCATAAAAGAGGTCCGTAGGACTTCTGAAGCCATTCAAACACCTTTGTGAGAGGAACAGATCAAAATGATTCACTGGCAATCTTCCACTCCACTGGGCTGTTAACAGTTGCAGTCCGATCATTGAATCGTTGAACTGGAGAAAACCAGATCATTGAATGAATCAGTCAGACTGGGTTTGTGAACCAGATTCATTGACTCAGAAGAATGATTCACAAATAGGGCATCGCTACTTCTCGCATGAACTCTTATGAATGCGACATGCAGAGCAAATGTCAGTATTTTCAGGTAAAAACTTAACATCAAAACATTTTAGTGTGTTCTTCTATTACAGACTTGGGATATAGTGCACAAGTTGTATTCTTTTACTATGATTTTTTTATTTATTTTTTATTTTGGGGCTTAACTGCCTTAAGCCGGGTGCACACTGTACAATTTTGGCCACAATTTGACTGTCTGAGACAAATATAGCAAAGCCTAAAAGATTCCTCTGATCCTAGGCTAAAATCTTAAATTTTTGATCGTTAGTTTAACGTTCACCTACAGCCGATTAATAACCGTAATAACCGACGAAATTCTGGCAGTGTCAGAAGATTTGACTCGCAGTCCTGCACTGTGACTTCGACGACGACGACCGTCAAATTGTCTTCATTTTTTTAAGACAAGCCATGATCAAAATTAACGTTAGAGATTTTTTTTTGTAGCCGCCATTTCAATCCCACGTGTTTTCTTGTGTGTGTCCGTTAATCCATTAATGACAACTGAGATCTTACAGTGTGACTTGGCATACAGCAAGGATCATGTTCGTACAGTCTGACAAGCAGAAATCGTAAAGGGCTATTATAAATCGCACCCGGCTTTAGTCCTCATTTAGTTTTATTATATTGACCGGAGAGGCTGGGATAGTCTTCAGAAATTCAACTTTAGTATTCCACTGAAGAAAAAAGTAATACAGGATTTTGAACAACATGAGTGAGTTCTCATTTTTTGGGTGAACTATTCCTTTAAGAATAAAATGTGGGCCCCAAACCATTGATTGTCTCCTTATAGATACATGCATGCCTATAAATTATTGATGTTCTTGTAAACCTCAATTCATTATAGCTGGCAGAACACTGGTCGATTACTTTGTTACGGCCAAATCACAGTGTCTCAGACTATCTGCTGGCACTTACAGCTGTGATCCACTCACTAAATGTCAAAACGTGGGATGCCATTTATGAAGAAACATGTCTTGTTAGATGTTCAGCTGTGATAGTCACAGATGAGCACCCTCTTTTGCACCAGGTTATTTTCTCAGTTAAAGGGACAAATCGAAGCTGAAATTCTACTGGGGCCACCAAGGCCCTTTTTTCCACATGTCGGCTTACTGCAGTCAATATAAACCACAAACCACCCCCCACCGGATACAGAAACAGGTTTCTAGTGAGGTTCGCTGATGTGCTCACGACATAGATGTGACAAATCAAATGGAGTTTGAGATCAGGGGTCATTCATATTTCCATATCCTGTCTCTGTCCATTCAGCTTCCCCTTGGATGGATGCCAGGAAAACACCCAGTAAAATCGACCTGTACGATGTGCGCCGGCGACCTTGGTACTAATATGCGCTTCTGTGTGTGTGCTCTGAATTCTTTTTCATTTGTTCCCCTTTTATATTGAACCTTCTAGTCTTTGTTCTCTCAGTTTAAAATTCTCCTTGAAAGAGATCCAGAATATTTCTTTCTTTGTATCCAGGTATGTTCAAGGTGCGGCTTCGCCCAAGGACATGCTGATTCTTGTTGATGCGTGAGTATTATTTGCTTTTTAAATTATGAAAATTATAAATCTTCACTTGAATTGTTCTTTCCTTTCCTCGCAAACCTGTAACAAATCCTTCCCTCGCGTGTCAAAATGACCCGAAGCATAAAATTATAGCCCAAAACTCTTTTCTTTTGGTCCAGAAAACTTATATCATTTCATTTTTATAATATTAGGGGGTTTTTTAATGCAATTTTTTGGAGATTTTTTATTAATTTTATTTCATGTACCTTTAAATTTCTAGATTTTATCAATAAATAATATAATTTAAGCACATTCTTCACATTCTTTCAGCTTAAATTCAAAATAACCCCAATACGTGCAGTAATCATCTCAAATCAGCTCAAACGTCTGGTTCCCTGAGAAGGGAATGACACGCTGCGTCCCTATGACGTCACTGTGGGGAATCCCTTCAGCGTCAGCGCTCCTGAAGTCACATGTGCAACTTAGTCCAATCCTGATTGGTGCAACGTCATCCCGTGACGCGTGCCGGCGGAATGCAGAAGTTATAAAGGGAGCCGGCATCACAGTTGCTGTCAGCCTTCTGATCGGCTGAAGCAAGCCGCTCTCAGGTGTGCAGAAGTATGGCAGAGGGACGCAGCGTCTCGTTCCCTTCTCGGGGAACCATGGTTACATGGGTAACCTGAGACGTTCCATTTCGAGGGAACTCACGCTGTGTCGCTTTGACAACACTTTGGGGAACGATATGCCCACTTCGCCATGCTGACGAAAGTCTGTCCCGGTGTGAAATGAGGCACATCTCAGGACATGATTGCTTGAGACCCCGGGGTCGCCGGAAGGTCCAAGCTGTAGAATCCATCAAAGGTGTGTGGTGAGGACCACCCCGCCGCATCACATACATCTTGGAATGATGCTCCCGACTACAGAGCCTTTAAAGAAGCCATGCTTCAGGTGGAATGAGCTCTAACTGACAGAAGTGAGGGCAGCCTGCTCACCTCAAAAGCCATATTAATAGCTTCAACGATCCACCTGCTTATGGTCTGTTTAGTAGCCGGGCAGCCCTTCTTAGGGTGCCCGAAGCATAGCAAAAACTGGTCAGATTTTCTCCACTGGGATGTCTTCCTTACATTCATCTCAGGGGCCCTGACCGGGCAAAGCGACTTGGGCTTCTCTTGTTCCTCCGACACTTGAGGAGGATGGAAGGCCTGGAGGACAACTGGCCGGACCACATTAAAGGGCACCTTAGCTACATACCCAGGTCTTGGGTAAAGAATACATTTTACTCCCCACGGAGAAAATTTTAGGCAGGAGGGAGCAACCGAAAAGGCCTGTAGATCTCCTATTCTTTTGAGAGATAGCATAGCAAGCAGAAACGCCATCTTTAAGGCGTATTATATATATATATATATATATATATATAATAAGGCGTATTATATATAGAGAGAATCTTCCCTTGGGCCCATGTTACGACCCCTCTCAGATTTGTCTGATGCCGTGTCCAGAGGCTCGAAGGGTGCCAAGGATAACCCTTCTAATACTACGTCTAGATCCCATGTGGGGACTCTAACCTGAGCCGGAGGCCTCACCCTTCGAGTACCACGAAGGAAACGAGAAATAAGATGATGCCTTCCTTGCCACTTGTCTGATGCCGTGTCCAGAGGCTCGAAGGGTGCCAAGGATAACCCTTCTAATACTACGTCTAGATCCCATGTGGGGACTCTAACCTGAGCCGGAGGCCTCATCCTCCGAGTACCACGAAGGAAACGAGAAATAAGATGATGCCTTCCCAGTGAGTTGCCATCCAGAGAAACATGGAAAGCAGCCACTGCTGCCACATACACCTTTAGTGTAGAGGGGGAAAGGCCGTCCGAGAAACGACCCTGCAAGAACTCCAGCACTGAAGCCACTGGGCAGTTAACTGGGTCCATTTGGTGTTCTGTACACCATGAAGTGAATACTATCCACTTCAGCGCATATAGTTTCCTTGTGGAGGGAGCTCTAGAGTTTAAGATGGTCTCCACTACCTCAGTAGAGAGACCGACATTCAGGAACTGATCCCCCTCAGGGGCTAGACCCATAATTTCCATATCTCCGGCCGGGGGTGAAATATTGTGCCCTCGGCCTGGGTTAGAAGGTCCCTCCTGATGGGCGTCCAAGAGGGCTATCAGGTCCGAAAACCAAACTCGGGCCGGCCAGCAATGGGGCTACTAATAAGACTTGGTCCCCGCCCTGGCGAATTTTCTCTAGAACTCCCGGGAGCAGAGCGATCGGGAGAAATGCATACAGCCGAAGCCTCGGTCATGGCTGTACCAAAGCATCCAGTCCGAGAGGGGCTGGAGAAGTGAGGGAAAACCAGAGGGGACAATGTAAGTTCTCTTGAGACGCAAACAGGTCCACGTCCGCCTGGCCAAACTTCCTTCAAATTAACTGCACCGTGTTGGGGTGCAGCCTCCATTCCCCGGGCCACAGCCCCTGCCTCGACAGGACGTCTGCTCCCACATTTAGATGGCCTAGAATATAGATTGCTGTCAGCGAGAGAATCTTCCCTTGGGCCCATGTTACGACCCCTCTCAGATTTATCTAGGAGCTAGAGGAGCAACATTAAAGAAACATGGCAAAACTGTGGAAATAACAGTATGTGGCAAGAAACTTGGAGCGAACACCAACTGTCAATGAAAAAAATACATTTATTATATAAATAGGAAAAAAAAAACTATTAACAATGAAATGAATGCACAACAATATGGAGGCTGGAAGCCACCCACAAAATGTACAATTTACAATAAGGAAAACAAAAACAAATAATGAATAAGTAAGATTAAACTAAGCAAATTAGCCACAAAGGAAAAAGGGGACTCAAGTGATGCCAAAAGAAAGAAAGAAACAAAAGAAAAGAATCCTAACTCATTTCAAAACCTCTTACCTAGCTAATAAAAAAAAAGAAAGAAAATAATTATTTCTTCAGCGCCAAGCGCCGTATTCTTCCCTATTCTAACTAACACAAACAAAACATACAATGGGTGGCGTTCACCTCTTACCTGGGGTTTCTATACACAGATTAATCTAGATGTTGCACAATGGAAGTCGTACGACATCTTCCCTATCCCCATTCCCTGGAGCAAAAGGTAAACAAAGAGCGCGAGCTCTACACAGGTCGGAAAACAAACGCCATCCAAAAATTAATCGAACAAAGTAATAAACCAAAACTTAAACACAAACTAGCATAAGCAAAATAATCAAATCAAACGAGTCCCAAACGAAAACAAAACACAATGACAGCAAAACCAGAACCAAAACGGGACTCCCTTCCACTCTTCTCCAGCGGCATTTTAACTGGCAGCGAGAACGTTACGGACAGCGGATAGGTTGACGTCACATCCCTCAATGATGACTGACAGTCTCCTGAGCCAATCAGCGAACGAGGAAGGACGGCCTAAGAGATCGATAGCAAGAGAGAGAGAGAGAGAGAGAGAGAGAGAGAGAGAGAGAGAGAGAGAGAGAGAGAGAGAGAGAGAGAGAGAGAGAGAGAGAGAGAGAGCAGGAAAACAAACACAAACTCCCACAAAATACCTACGCACGTAACAGCCCATAAGAGAATCTGATGTGCCAGTCTGCACAGGGGGCACAATCTCAGACCCCCTTGATGGTTTATATATGAGACCACCGACGTATTGTCTGTTCTCACTAGAACATGATGGCCTCTGAGGTCTGGGAGAAAGTGCCTTAAGGCTAGCAGTACCACTAACATCTCTAGACAATTTATGTTGCAAGATAGATGATGTTCCCTCCATAGACCCTGGATTGAGTGGCCCTTCATCACTGCCCCCCACCCTGTGCAGGACGCATCTGTCGACAATATTTTGCGCTGACATGGTGTTCCTAACACAGGACCTTGGGCTAAGAACCAAGCTTTCTTCCACATGACCAAGGAACGAAGGCACCTGCGCATAACCTTTATAATGCTGAAAGGGTTGCCCCTCGGGGAGAACTCCTTGGTTCTGAGCCACCACTGTAGTTGTCTCATGTGCAGCAGGCCAAAAGGTATCATGTTGGACGCTGCCGCCACAAGCCCTAACAGTCTCTGGAACTGTTTTACAGTGATGCGTTGGCCTAGCTTTTTTCTGGACACCATGGCCAAAATCAACTCGATACAAGCAGGAGACAGTTGTCCCCGCATCGTGACCAAGTCCCACATCACTCCTAAATATGTCATCCTTTGGACAGGAGTGAGCACGCGTTTTTTCGCGTTGAGCCTCAGCCCCAAACACCTCATGTGGTCGAGCACGACATCTCGATGCCGTGCCACAATTTCCTGAGACTGAGCTAGTATCAACCAGTCGTCTATATAGTTGAGAACTCTTATACCCTGCAGTCTGAGTGGCGCCAGGGCTGCGTCCATGCACTTCGTGAAGGTGCGTGGGGATAGTGTTAGGCCAAACGGAAGAACCCAATACTGGTACGTTTTGCCCCCAAAAGCGAAACTCAGGAACTTTCTGTGTTCCGGTAGGATGAAGATATGGAAATACGCATCTCTTAGATCTATCATCACAAACAAGTCCTCAAACTTGATTTGGCTCACGATAATGGGAATCATTAGCATCTTGAACTTGAATCTCCTCAGAGATTGGTTCAAGTGACGAAGATCAATGGGACGTAACCCTCCATCCTTTTTTGGAACTATAAAGTACCTGTAGAACCCGGTGTTTCTCTCTGCGTGAGGAATGAGATATATGGCCTCCTTCGCCAGAAGAGACTGAACTTCCTGCTCCATAATCTGCATGCGTTCGGGGGTTACCACTGTTTTGAGAATTCCCTTGAATTTCGGTGGTCGAGCCCCGAACTGAAGTCTGTACCCTTTGTGAATGGTACGCACTACCCACTGAGATATATTGGGTAGCACTTCCCAGGCATGCAGGAAATTTGCTAGCAAAACCAGCCTCTTGGGGCTGGTATTCGGAGTATCTTGAAGAGCAACTTCGGTGTCCTGAAGCAAATTCCCGGCAGGAACTAACCAAACAAATTTTTCTACAGGCCTCTCTATGGAGAACGAACTCTCCGCGACCGCTATTTTCTTCTTGACGAGCAGAAGTTGAGGATTGTGTTCGTCAGAAACCATTGCGCCCCGAAGCGCCGTGAGTGGCGGGATTAACAAATCGATTTCCTGAGGGCTCCGCGGAGGAGTGTGTGTAATTCGCTCCACCCCCGGAGGGGGCGCCCTCAGAGGCCTGATCTGACCATCAGGACCTCTTTCCCGAAGCCCGTCAGAATAACAGTTCTCAAATCCGTTTTATGACTCACGGGCATGAGAGTATTGCCTCGAGCCCTGAGATCGTTGTGGAGGGGCTCAATTAGCAACACTCTCTTTCTGCCTATATCTGTACGAGGAGCTAGACGTACTTGGCTGGGGCTGTCGCTTGGCAGCAGCAACAAACTAACAACAAACTATTTGCACAACAAACCAGTGTGTTTATGATTACAAAAATAAATGAAAATAATACGATAACATATCAAATTGCAAAATAATACGATTTCTCATGACACTGTATCGTCAGGAAATCAATATGAATGGCTTGCTTATGGTTGTCTCAGCATATTTAAATTCCAGCATTTTTTTCCCCCAAAAAAATTCTGTCGTCATTTAATTGCTGTAATATTGTTAAATGATAACAGAGTTTACATTTTTGGATGAACTATCTCTTTAACTGGCATTAACTGGTATTTGTATTGGGTGTGTTGCAGGAGTGGAAGTGTGTCTGGACTGACCCTTAAACTGATCCGAACTTCTGTCAGTGAAATGCTGGAGACACTTTCCGATGATGATTATGTCAATGTTGTCCATGTAAGTATGATCATATGCTATGTGGGCACACTGCAAAGTTTTGGCTGTGACAACTGTAGGACTCATAACATGTACTTGCAATAGTTTATATACATAGTAGTATATAGTATATAGTTTCTCATTCTGCTTTTCACAGTCCCTCGCATACATTTCCATACTTTTCAGAGCTATTCTGGAACTTTGTGTTGCAGTGGTACTATTTTTAGGATGTCACTTTTGCTGTAATATTCCTAATTTGCATTATAGTTTGTTAGCTAATTTGTAAGCTTGGATAGCGGCAATTTAACATCTGTTATATGAGTAGCCTATACATGAATAGCAATATTTGTAGCAACATTTTGGCATCTCATAACTTTAAACAAGCAAGATTCTATTGACAAAGAAGCTATCTTTTTTTCTTTACTGTTGTTAGAGGAGTAGTTCACTCAGAAATGAACAATTTGTTTTATTCGCTGTTCTTCATGTCGTTAAAAACCCACGTAGATACCTTTCTTCCAAGAAAGATGCAGTACAGCTGAGCTGTCAGATTCTAAAAAATTGTAAGCAATTAGCAACTAGATGTTCAGTTTGGTTCTGCACAAACTGTGGGAATAATAAACGTTGTTTTTCACTGCTTGAAGTTTTCATGACTTATAATGGTTGCAGAAAGTGCTTGTTACTAAAAGAAAAATGTGTATAAATGACAAACTGTCTACAGAATGGGATTAAAATCTCAGAAAACTGTGACAACCGTATTTAGCTGCAGCTGTACAGTAAAAATGGAACAAGACATTGTTACTCTGGATTCAATTTAAAGTGAGGAGTTTCTATAGTTTGTGGGTTGCAGGTTGCTGTGTGGTGTACAGTAACAACAGCATGTGTGTGTGTGTGTGTGTGTGTGTGTGTAAGAGAGAGAGTGAGACATAGGAGTTGTAATGAAATATGGATCTGGCTGCAGCTTGCCACTTGAAAACAGGCGCTTAATGAAAAGGCTGTTTCTGGGCTCTGTGTGCTGAATTGAAAATGGCTGGACAAAGTGAAGGGAAGAGATCAGGCTGAGTGAGAAAGAGAAGGCCAGAGAAAAAAGGGAGGAAATTGCTATATATCATTCCTCTCGGAAGGAGCCTCCAATCCATCTTGGCTAGCTGATCTTTTACTCGGGTTCTGCCTGTTTGTTCTTAACTTATTTTTCCTCTGACCAAAGGAGCTCACAGGATGCTCATGTCCAAACCTGCATGCTTGTTGTGGAGGTTGTTATTTCTTAAAGGGATAGTTCACCGAAAAATTAAGATTTTGTCATTATTTACTTACTCTCGTGATATTTCAAACATGAATAGCTTCTTTCCCCATGCTCTTTTTCTTTCAATTGCAATGAACAAGGACTGACACTTTCAAGCTTGAAAAATAATGCCGATCCAGAAACCATAAACTGATATAAAAGTGGTACATATTTTGTGTGAGAAACTCAAGTCGTTATTCACTGAAAATATTGACATCAGCTCTAGCTTTGCTTGAAGTCTTCACTAGAGAAATGGCGATGTCTCTGATTCATGACTGAGTGATTCTTTTGAGTTAAAATAATTGAATGATCTTACAAATCACAGTGATCTGATTCTCGAGTTCATCTCATTTGAAAAATTGTGAATAATGACTACTTCTGCTCACACAAACTTGTTGCATGAATTTATTAGACTTGGAACAAAGTTCACAAGTTGAATGGACCACTTTTACGATGCTTTTATTGTGCTTTTGTTAAAGGAATAGTTCACTTCAAAATGAACATTCTGTCATCATTTACTCACCCTCAAGTTGTTTCAAAACTGAATGAATTTCTTTCTTCTGCTGAACACAAAATAAGATATTTTGAAGAATGTCAGTAACCAAACAGTTGATGTACCCTATTGACTTCCACTGTAGGGAAAAAAAAAATACCATGGAAGTCAATGGGGCCCATCAACTGTTTGGAGAGAATTTTAATTTTGAAGTGAACTTTTCCTTTAAGCTTGAAAGCTTCAGTCTCCATTCATTGTAATCTCATGGAAAAGAGTAGCAAAAAGAAAGCTATACAGGTTTGAAATTATAAATCACATTCATTTTTTGCACTCAGGGTGATATTGCCCCAAAAAATCATGCTTGGTATCATACATTTTTTATTCTTCAGTAAATAAAGTTTGATTAATTTATTGTGTTCACTTTTGAAATTGGATTTTGAGGTTTTCTTGCATTGGGGAATCACTGTTCCGATAAAGGATTAGCTCTGAGAGATCTGTCAACAGGATTCGCTTCAGGGAACGTATGCCAATGAGAGTGTAGCATTGTGTTATGCGATTGCGTACTGTATGTGTGTGAGTGTGCTTGTGTGTATTTGAGCGAGAACAGAAAGAGGCTGTGCCCACAGTCACATAAATGCATTAGTTTGATACCCAAAGATCAAATTTGGTATGTGTTTGTACAGATCAGTAGTTTGAGAGCATCTGCAGTTTTAAATAAAAGGGCTATGTGGGCATTATGGGTAGACTAATCATTGTGTTGGCTGAATCTATAAATCTATAATATGGTGGTAGTGATTTGTTTTTAGACTGTTGATCACCAGTGTACACAATATAAATATACAATATAAATCACTAACTACCAAACTACCATATGGTAGCTGTTATGCTTTCTGAATTGGGAAAGTGAGGAGGATTAGGATCGGTATATACAGTTGTAATGATTTTAGCCATGCAGGACAAATACATTATCTGATCATTTCAGTTGTAAGTAAAATTTAGACTTCCTTCATGCACATTTGTATACATTTTGCTTGATAAACAACTTATTTCACAAGAGATGTTATACATTCCTGCCAAGTCAGGAAGAACAACAAGACTTGGAAGGAAAATATGTTGTAATGCAGGCTGTGTTTGGAATTTAATACTAGTGTGCTCATTTTGGCCTACAGCACAGTACATATGTACACAATATGCTGTTACACAATAATCTATTATACTGTACTGGATGTGTGTATGTATGCAGCAAGGGGGCTCTCGACTGTCTCTTACAAACAAATGTTGCTCATTTTAACAGGACTTTGTAATATGATGCCACATATACAATATCAATAACCCAAGAATTTCATAAATCTTCATACAATTTTGAAAAGCCAACTGAAGTTAAAGGAAAGTGAGATTTGGTCATTCGTGTAAAACTGTGTAAAATGCATTAATGCATGGCCAAGTATACATGAAATACATGTATTGTATACATGTATTACATATACATATGCAAATAAATTAAATCAAAATTCAGTATATCAATTCGTCAAATTCAGAAATGCAATCAAGTTGACTAAATTCATTGCTTTGCACAGTTAAACAAATAATCAGAATATATTTAAATTATTATCAAAGCACATATTCTCACCATTAACACCATTAATTATGCTGCATAATTGCAAGTTTATATTTATATTAAAATATTCAAGGCTAAATGAAGACAAGTGATGCAAATGCATGCTTTTTTTTTCATAGATTGCATAGCCAAATTCAGCCTTTTGTCTTAACACAGGAGCTATAATCATTATAGATGGTGCATATCCATGCAAATGTGACATTTATAGTGAAGGCAAGGCAAAGGAAATATGACATATTATAAACAGTCTTCCTCTTTACTGGTCAGCTGAAGTGTCTCTAATTTCAGTCATTGTCCGAATACATATTTGATTAGTTATTTATGAAGGCAAATATTGGATCAAGGTTATTGTTATTGATGCTCATTAGGGCAGTGCTGTGGCAACCGCCATTGAATTGTTCAAGGATACTACCAGATTCATCATTTCGATTGACTTATCTGTGGGGCGGATTTTCATCGGAAATTATTGACTAGTGTAATTGACTTGGAGCATGACAAACAATTTGAATGGTGAACGTAAGATTAAGGCTTTAAATTGGTCCCTTGAGGTTACTCTGGTTTTAAGAGGTGGATGTCATGCAGGAAAAGTGTTTCCAACCTTCGTCTGGTTGGAGATGAACAATGGAATAAGAGTCTCAGTTTATGAATCAGTTTTTTTTTTTCCTCTCTGTAAAATGTTTATGAGCTCTTCACAATGAGAATGATCTGGAGGCTCCCTAAAGCTCAGTGATTGTACAATCGCTGAGCTTTAAGAAGCCTCCGGAGCTGAAGTTGAGTTATGGTAATGGGCGTTTCGTTTCATGCGCTGTTAGCGGTAGACCAATCACAACATACTGGGCCATCTGGCCAATCAGAGCAGAGTAGGCTCGCGGAAAGGAGGGGTTTAGAGAGACTAAATCTTCGGACGAGTTGTTTGAGAATCATTGAAAAATGTGGTGATGTGCAATGTATATTATGAGAAAATTAACGTTTTTTTTTTTTTTTACCTTTGATGCATGTAAACATGTAGGAGACCTCCAAAACAAAATTAGGAACCTTAAAATGGCATAATAGGGGCACTTTATCAGATCTTTATTTACACAGCGGTATGAATCTGACAATCACAGCAGTCGGCTTTTTATTCTTGCAATTAATCAAATTGTTATCAGTAAATATGTATACCCTTAATTATGCTGCATACATATATACACATACATATAATTATATATATACAGATATTACAATAATTTAAACTAAAATAATAAATGAAAATTAACTATTGGTTTTATAACCATGTCATAAGTATAATACACTGACTAAATTTCACATTTCATGATGCACTGTGTTATTAATCAAATCATTAGAATTTAATCAAGTTGTTATCAGAGCAATTATGCTGCATAGTGTTTGTAATATATATATATATATATATATATATATATATATATATATATCATTATACCTATTTATGTTATATAACATAACATATATGTTCTGTCTGAATACTCGTCTGTCTGATTGGCTGGAAGGTGTGCAATAAAACCGTTTAATGCGCAGGTAGTTCCTAGTCAGTTTAATCACCGTTCTATAGTTTGATTATAAACATTTAACATACACTATGCCTACATTTTATGTAAAATCAATTCATCTTTCAATGAGATTTTTTTTTTTTTCATGAGTTTTTAATTCATGAACTTTCGTGACAGTTCGTCATTCTTGCTAAATAGACAATTTTTGGATGATATACAACCCCTCTGGTTCACATTCGGGTTATGATTATTACTGTATAGAAGCAGTTGTCTATTTTTTTTTTCTTATTTCTCAATAGGAGTTTTAGAAGAAGGGCATTTTAATGCTTATCTTAAACATAACTGAAAACTTATTTAAGTCCCCTGAGCTATGGACGAGCAGCCCCCGAGAAATAAAAGCCTCCTCTGGGAAGCGGCATGACACGACAGAACTAGAACACTCTCGTTATAATCACCGAAGCCATCTACGCTGTGAGTGTGCGCCGTCTGGTGTGTGTAGGGGTCTGTGTATCATCAGTTTGTCCTATTCCTCTATTTATAACCCGGCGTATGCTGAGAGCAGTGAGTCACGGGGGCCTCCGTGGAGATAATTTCAAGCGTTAATTAAATATTCAGTCAATGCTGGAACAACTAATCGAACCGTGACTCATCAGTTCATTCAACAGACACTGTGACATCCAGCTCATTCAACAGAGCATGGACACCTGATCCCACAATTACATCAATGACTGGCGCACGTCTCCTAATGACACCTCTCTTTGTCCGGCGAGAAATTCAGAGTGGGAAAGCCTTTCAGGTTGACATGATTAAAAAAACTAAGAACTGGATCATTAAAAATAGAAGAAAAACATGCAGCACTACAGTAAACACGGGAGGTTTGAAGGTGTGTTCTGCTTGCATATGCCACAGGAAGTGCACCATGTGCTTTTTCATATCCTCGGGGAGAGCTGGAGTTATACAGTAGTAATCATTTTAATTTTTGCGTGAGCTTGCACATACCTCCTCCTCATTAGCTGTAATGGTGCCATAATTGACTCACACCTGTTAATCATTCTGACTTTTCCTATTGTATGTGTCTGGAAAAGGTACAAATTGGTTTCCAATTAAGCATCATAGGAACCTTATTTTTGTTGTGAATTGATATATTAGATAAATTGATATTCAATTCAATTGTAGTAAAAACTAAATTTAAACAAATATTTAAAAACTAAAGGTTTTAATTGCCAAAATATATATTTTTTAAATTATTTTTGTTGTTATTATTTCGCTCTCACCAACATGTTATACTGTATATATATCGTTGCAAGCCTGTTACCCATTTAGGCTATTTTTTTTTTATTATTATTCATTTTTTTATTTAATTATATATATATATATATATATATATATATAGAGAGAGAGAGAGAGAGAGAGAGAGAGAGAGAGAGAGAGAGAGAGAGAGAGAGAGAGAGAGATTGCATTTTCATGCCCCCCGGTTTTTACATGGATTGCAAACCTCATATGAAGTGAATTAAAAGTAAAACTGCTCATATAATATTTAGTTTAACACCCTGAGGTTGAAACCATAAAAAGTAACTTTGTTTTTAAAAGATTTGTACTCTATTTGTGGATACTTAGAGTCTGCAGTATTCCATATACTATTTATCCTTCTTTTTCCCCTGTGTTCATTCTCCCCCTTTCCCCCTCTTTCCTTCCCCTACCCAAGTCTCTTTTCTTGTTCACAATCTCTCCTCACACACGCTCCAGCTTTGAAGTAACAGGTTCACAGAGGTCAGCCGCAATAAGTGACAGAACACAGCGAGCCCTACCTGAACAGAAAATTAGAAACTTGTAAGGGTATCCAGCTTGTCAGCTCAAATTACTGTATTTTCATTACTGACTGTACCAAACACATGCGCATACTCGCAAACACCTGCAGTTTCTGACCCCAGTATATATATCTCTTAAAGGTTGTATCAGCGATTGTGGGTGACGTCACTTCTGTTTGTGTTTGAAGTGAGATCCCAAACAAACCAAGTTAGCTCGCCCCTCCCTCCCGTTTCGTGCATCATGAAAAAAAAAGATCAAGATCATTTCTTAGGGTGTATTCACACCTGCCTTGTTTGGTTCGATTGAATCGAACTCTAGTTCGTTTCCCCCTTTGGTGCAGACCTTTTGGGCAGGTGTGAATACAGCAATCGAACTCGGGTGCGGACCAAACAACCGAACCGAGACCCAGCTGAAGAGGTGGTCTCGGTACGGTTCCAAACGAACTCTGGTACGGTTCGTTTACGGTGTGAACATGAACCGACCCAATTGCAAGAAAGCACTGCGCCTTTGAGTTAACAGGCTTCCGTAGTCGGAGATTTTGGCTTAATGGTTTGTGTTATTGTTGTTCAAGTGCGAAAGAGAATTCCATTCCGGCCGCCCGGCGCGCTGTCTGGCCACACGATACTGTTGTGCGTCTTTCTGCACGTCGTGTGTGTGCATCATTGGAATGGAATGAATGAATGAGTGTGTGCATCAGGACATTCACATACAGAGCGTTCTCTTTAGTCTAATCGCGCATAGATGCAAAAAAAGCTTTTGCAGTTCATATAATGTAACGATAGTTACAATACAAGGATGATGCTGCGTTAAACTGGACAAACTTAATCGCAAGCATTAACATTGACAGCACTTGTTAGCAGTATATACAATAAGAATCTCATTATTTGAATGTGTGAACATAGCCCATCTCTATGAATGAAAACTTTATACCTTTCTGCGCAGTTTCTTCATATTGCGTTTGTACAGAATAACACAAAATTAGTCAAATAACAAATATTGCAGTACGAAATATCTCCATGCTGAGCCTTTTTTGCACTTCCTGATTTCCCTACTTGAGAATCCTTGTCCAATGAATGGACGACCTTAGCACACGTGTGGTTTTGTTTACAAATTTTGGTTCACTTGCAAAAAGAGCAGTGTGAAAGCGAACCGTACCAAAAAAAATAAAAAAAATTATTTGGTCCGGACCAAAGCAAGTGAACTATCGGACTTTCCTGGTGTGAATACACCCTTAAAGTGACAAACAAACGATATTCAGATTGACGTTCTACCTCAATGATAGCTTATTCTGCTGGGTAAGTCAATTATTCCCAATTATTATTCGTTTCTTTAACGAATAACGACGGTTTTCCCTCGCCCTAATCCTCCTTCTCTACTTGAGGGGTTGCCTCTTCCATGTTCTCTGTATCTGGTCCGTTGATAGACGCGCTGGCTTCTTCTTCAGCTCTGACTTCGCGTGCAGGCGCCGTGCACAGGCGCAAAAACAAACAAAACCCGCCCCTGTCGGTGATTGGTTTTGAGTGGTGGTTGTACCCATTTGTTTTTGTGTGCAGATCTCAGAGCCTAGGCTGCCTACAGAGACGCGTTTTTTTGACAGCCTGCTTATGGGACGGGCAGCTAGCGGCAGTGGTGGAGGAAGTACTGAATCTCAGTACTTGAGTAAAAGTACATATAACCAGAGACATATTTACTTTAGTGAAAGTAGAAGTATCACAATGACAACCCTACTTAAGTAAAAAGTAAAAAGTACCTGATTTTAAATGTACTTTAAGTATTAAAAGTAAAAGTACTTGCATAACAATTTATTCTCTTAATGTCTATATTCTAATGATTAATAAAACAGTTAATCCTAACTCATTCAACCTAATACTCCTATTATGATGTTCAATAATGATGGAAAAGCCATTATTTTTTAAGTTTCTGTCACCATTTCTGAACAAGCTTGCAATTAGGCAATATACATCACATCAAACTTAATGTGACGGGGTTTGGCTGTAAATGCGATTCATTTATGGCGTAATTCTGAACCTCTTGGCTTGCCATACTACGGTAATCCTAACCAAACGTAGAATACACACGCACCCCACCCCACTATGCACGTAAAAACAAATTTCCGCGTATAAATTGCATGATAAACACACTGCGTGCTATAGAGACGCATTTAGTGTGACCGGGTTGATATGGCAACCAAACTTCACTGGTGAGACAAACGTGCGACGAACGGACGGTCAGGATGACGTTTTGGCAGGGGAAAAACTGATCAGAAAATGTAACGAAAATGTAACAGAACGTTGTAGAAATGTAGTGGAGTAGAAAGTATAATAATTGCTGCAAAATGTAACGAAGTAAAAGTAATAAGTATGCACTATTGATTCTACTTAAGTAAAGTAAAGATACGTGAAAAATGTACTTATGTAAAGTAACGAAGTATTTGTACTTCATTACATTCCACCACTGGCTAGCGGATCGTTAGGAAAGATTAGATGAATGTGATCATTTATGTTTGGGCCTGAAATCGCTGATACAACCTTTAAGTCACACAAACTTTTTTGTGATTCTGAAAAGTCTTGCTGTGAATTAACAATGAGAAGACCAATGATTTCCCACTTACTTACTGTATGCCTCTCTATCTCTCACACCCTCTCTCTTTTCTTTTTCAGTTCAACACAAAAGTGAATAACACAGCATGTTTCGACCACCTGGTTCAAGCTAACGTTCGCAATAAGAAGATCTTGAAAGATGCAGTACAGAACATTACAGCCAAGGGCATTACCAACTATACCAAAGGCTTTGAATTTGCATTCAATCAGCTCTCAAATGTGAGTTTTTTTTTTACATTTAAGAAATCTATCTATGAATTGAAAAAATTTAACACATGACACTTCAGTCTCAGTCAGTGGTCAGCAGGCTTCAAATCTGCACTTTGTGTGATCTCTCTTCACATCGGCTGAAAAGTGTCTATAATAAGATATCACTCTGCACCCTCCCTTTATGGTGTTCAAATAATATACAGTTTGATACATTACATATTATCCTTCCCTCCCGTCAGTGGTGGATTTGGTCATAATCGGATGTAAGGCAGGAAACATTCTACTATGCCACAAGTAGGGGGTTGATCTCCCCCCTAGAATCACCTCAGTGTTGTAATATTTGTTTTTAAGAGGGTGCTGATGCTGATTAAACCTTATGTTAAGTTTTAGTAGTAGGCTATTGTTGTGCTCTGCTGACCTCTGCTGTTTATTCTATGTAACTGCATATGAATGTGCTCATTTCAGCCAAACGTCAGCAGAGCAAACTGCAACAAGATTATAATGCTGTTTACTGATGGAGGCGAGGAGAGAGCAGAAGACGTCTTCAGCAGATACAATATTGACAAAAAGGTGCGTGTGAAGGTCACCATCAGTCTAAATCTATCTATCCATCCATCTATATTTGGGGTGACATTTTTACTTTAGGAAAATTAAGAACGCATTTATGGAGGACCAAACCTGCAGAATAAATAAATAAATAAATTCATTCTCTTTCACTCTTTCCCCGGATTTCCGTGTTTTCACTGTTATACGGTAGGGGGCGCTATCACGCATCTTCTGAAAGAGTACAGAAACATACTCGGTTACCTAATGTAACCTCGGTTCTCTCTAGAAGAGGTTCTCTCGTATTGCGTAAGTTGCTTACGCTACGGGTAAAGTCATCTTTTCTCGAGATCTGAAGCCAAAAATGATCCTTAATTTTGTATTTATTGTCAACGCAGTGCAGCAGACAGCAGACCATAGCAGACTGAGTAAGTGTGCTCATTGGGTGTCCTGCGGTAAATGCAGCAGCCTATCGGTGAGCCCAGCGTGACGTCACTGCCCGCCAAAGTGAGAGTGGTCAACGTATATAAAAGAGGGGTTCAACAGGCTGAACTCTGGTTTTCATTGACTGAAGCGAATAAGCTCGCGGCACGAGCACAGCAGGTTACGCAATACTCGTTCCCTCTTCTAGAGAGAAACGAGGTTACATTAGGTAACCGAGTACGTTCTCTTACGAGAGGTTCTCTCATATTGTGTAAGTTGCTTACGCTACGGGAACCCATTGTCAACGCCGTGCGCCCCAAGCATCCGCTGCATGAGACCCGGGGATACCCGTGGAACAAACATGCAGAACAACAGCGGCCAGCAACGCGGGCCAGCACATGTAATAGACACTTGATATGAGCACAGAGCGGCACTGCCGGTCCATGTATAGACTTAGAGTAAAGGTGGCCAGCAACGCGGGCCAACACAGTTCACAAGCACACAATAGAGCAAGATTTTGCTGGATTATGTAAAGTGAAAAACCCCTTCGCGCAGCTGATTTAGGGAAATAGGCGGCCAGCAACGCGGGCCCGCACATGCATACTGACGCAGCATAGGGAAACACGGACGAACTCAGCCGGCTACATACGGCAAGGCTCGCCTCGCTGAGATGAGAGTGGTCTGCACATGACAGCTGGGCAGAATATACACATCCCCTTAGACTGATAAAAGTCTCGCCTGCAAGGCGGGAACTTCCAGGTTATAGAACCTCACGAATGTAGAGGGGAAGGCCCAGCCTGCCGCCAAACAGATATCGTGAATAGAAATCCCGCTGGACCAAGCCCATGAAGAGGCCATGCCTCTAGTGGAATGGGCCCTGATGCCCATAGGGCACTGCAGGTGTTTTGACGCGTAAGCCGCTGCGATAGCGTCCACTATCCATCTGGACAGGCTATGTTTCGAGGCGGTGAGACCCCTGGTGCGCCCTCCAAACGAAACAAATAGCTGCTCGGAGCGCCTTAAGGCCGCGGAGCTTGTGACGTAAAACCTCAGCGCTCTGACTGGGCACAGAAGGTTACCATCGCCCTCGCTATTGGATGCTGGCAGAGCCGATAGGGAAATGACCTGTACTCTAAAAGGCGTGCCAATCGCCTTGGGGACGTAACCATGTCTCGGTTTGAGTATGATTCTAGAGTCATTTGGTCCGAACTCGGGACACGCGGGGCTGACAGACAGCACGTGTAGATCCCCCACACGTTTTACCGATGACAGGGCTATCAGAAAAACGGTTTTGAGCGAGAGGTATTTCAAACCCACGGATTCTAGTGGTTCAAAGGGGAAAGCTTTCAGGGCCTCCAAGACCAAAGAAAGATCCCAAACCGGAACCGAGGGGGGCCATGGGGGATTCATCCTCCTGGCTCCTCTGAGGAAGCGGATGATGAGCTCGTTCCTTCCTATCGCGCGGCCGTGCGTTGACTCCGCGAATGCCACAATAGCCGTAACGTATACTTTGAGCGTGGAAGGGGACCTGCCCTTGTCCAACAGCATATTTGGAGCAAGGAAAGCACCCATGGGACCCCACAAGTGCGTGGGTCCAGGCCTTTACCGGTGCACCATTCGGAGAACACTGACTATTTAGACGCATAGAGCCGTCTCGTAGAAGGAGGTCTAGACTGCGAGATCGTATTCATGACCCCTTCTGGCAATACAACGGGTATCCATTGATTATCCACGCATGCAGAGACTAGCACTCTGGATGGGGATACCACACCGATCCACCGGCCTGAGACAGGAGATCTCTCCTCACCGGGATCGGCCACGGGGCTATGTGCGACAGCCTCACCAGCTCTGGGAACCAGGTCTGGTTTTCCCATCGTGGGGCTACGAGAAGGACTGAGTGGCCCGTTTCCCTGATCCTCTTCATTACCTGTGGTAACAGTGAGATCGGGGAAAAAGCGTACAGCGGGCAGCTGGGCCTGGTTTGGGCCAACACGTCCTTGTTCTTTGAAAAGAATCTCTGGCAATGAGCGTTGTCTTTCGATTCAAATAGGTCGACCTCCGCTCTGCCGAAAAGGCGCCATAGCGACTGGACCGTTTGGGGGTGTAAGGACCATTCTCCCGGGGGAATGTTGTCCCTGGACAGTCTGTCCGGGCCGATGTTCTCGTGGCCCGGCACGTGAGAGGCTCTCAGCGAGCGCAGCGAGCGATGGGCCCACACGAGAAGGCGTTCCGTCAGACTGCAGAGATTTCTGGATCTGACACCGCCCTGGTGATTTATGTAGGACACCACAGACATGTTGTCCGAGCGGACTAGAACATGGTGGCCCTTCAAGTGTGGGAGGAAGCGCTTCAGCACGTTCTCGACTAGGGGTGGGGGATATGGCAAAAATAACATATCACGATTTTTTTCAGGAAAATCACGATTAACGATTTTATCACGATTCTTTTTCATGTTGGTTTTACTATTTTGCAAGTGACTGAGCATTACAGCCAAACTAATGTCCCTATTTTTAAAAAAAGCCTTATAGGTAACAAAAGAAAAAAGAATGGCAGACATTTAGGCCAAAGTGGCGAAGATAAAAATCTTTATCATTATTTTCTTTGTTATTAAGAATTAGGAACAAAGATACACATTAAGCATACACAACTTAATATACAAATGAAATAAACAGTGCTTTGTTTCAGCTACGGTAGGGGTATTTAACAGTAGCATTGAAGAAAGTAATTAGGCTAAATGAACAAATACGAAAATAAAACACAACATAGACTTCACTGTATAAATTATTCATTGATTATTGTTAAAGCTACTACTAAAGTTCTCAGTCAAGAGCAGTGAGTGATTTCCTCTTTGTGTTTTGTTGTTTTATTAACATTAAAGGGATAGTTCTCCCAAACATTTTAATTGTCATCATTTACTCTCTCAAGTTGTTTTAAACCCGAATAAGTTTCTTTCTTCTGTTGAAAATAAAAGTTATTTGGAAGAATGTGGCTAACCAAACAGTTGCTGTACTCCAGTGACTTCCATAGTAGGCTATATGTTTTCCTACTATGGAAGTCAAGGGGGACCAGCAACTGTTTGGTTAGCCACATTATTCCAAATAACTTTTATTTTCAACAGAAGAAAGAAGTTAATACAGGTTTGGAACAACATTAGAGTGAGTAAATAATGACAGAATTTTTATTTTTGGGGGAATTATCTCTTTAAGGACAAGAGGCAGCTTGTTTACTAACTGGCTACTGTCGCTTTAAGAGCTGCACGCGACGCATCTAATAGACACGCATTTGACAAGCAGATTTTCTCTCATTTTTTTTCTGTTTGCTTTCACTGTAGACATAACCAACTTTGTTTATGTAAACCTTGTGTGTATTTGACAATATTAGCGTAATAAGACTCGAAAGATAACTTATAACGTAGTCCAGTAAACAGACGCTGTTAGACAGGCTTTTAGTGCCCGTGTGCTTCGGGTGTATGCGCTCAGAAAGCACACGTCAGAACAGCGCATCAGCACGTTAATTACATGTTTAACCAGCAAGGCTTTAAAGCACATGCAAATAATGAACTTCTGTGAACTGCAGTGTCCCGTTCCTCTGCGTTAACATTTGTTGTATGTTGAGACGGAGCTCGGCGCCAGAACTGCAACTGATTAAATGCACGATACTACGATATTTCTTCAAAAGCAGATCGTGGAGACATTTTAATCGTCCACGATCAAAAACCGTGATATCGCACACCCCTATTCTCGACTGCTATCATCTCCAGAGAGTTTATATGAAGGCATTTCTCCTGGTCTGACCACAGACAGAAGACTGGCCTGCCATTGAACAGAGCGCCCCAACCTAAGTTGGAGGCGTCCATCGCGATAACCTGTCGGTGTGAGACAGCTCCCATTGTCACTCCCCGCTGGTACCAGCCGGCCGCTAGCCAGGGCTTCAGTGCTGAAACGCAGCCCTGAATGACTCTGATTCGAATGCCGCCGGCCGCCCAGGCTCGGCGAGGCACTCGAGCGATAAGCCAGCGCTGTAGCGGTCGCATGCGCAGTAGACCCGCAGCGCAGCTGAGGCCATATAACCCAGCATCCTCTAAAATGTCTTTAGAGATGCGATGCTGTCTTTCTGGAAAGACGCGGCCAGGAGCCGGACACGGCGCACGCACTGTGTCGACAGCCGCCGTCATTGCCACAGAGTCCAGTTCTATGCCCAGAAAAGAGGCTGACTGGCTGGGCAGTAGCGAGCTCTTGGTCCAGTTGACTGTGAGACCCAAGCTTTCCAGGTGGCTGAGAAGCACCGCTCTGTGAGAAACGAGTTCCTCCTCTGATTGTGCTAGAATCAGCCAGTTGTTGAAATAGTTAAAAATTCGCATACCCTGACCCTTCAGGGGAGCGAGAGCCGTATCCATGCACTTTGTGAACGGACGGGGTGCTAAAGACAGGCCAAACAGCAAGACGGTGTACTGATATACCTGGCTGTCGAAGGCGAATCTCAAGAATGGCCTGTGACAGGGTATTATCTGGATCTGAAAGTATGCGTCTTTCAGATCGAGGGTAATGAACCTGGGTCCCCGGGGCGAATTTGCGCGAGGATCTGTCTGGTCGTGAGCATTTTGCTCTTATGTCTTCTCATAAGAGCTTTGTTCAAATATCTCAGATCTAGAATTGGCCTGAGGGCTCCGTCCTTCCTGGGTATGAGAAAATAACGGCTGTAAAAGCCTGACTCTATGGAACCCTTGCACAGAAGTTTCGCTATTTCTGCACGATCTAGGTGTGCTACTTCTCCACTCACTCTCGTCTCGGTCCGCTTTCGAAAGCGCGGGGGATGGCGAGCGAACTGCAATGCATAGCCCTTCTTTACTGTGTTCAACACCCATTCTGAAGCGCCCGGGATAGCTTCCCATGCTTTTGCATGTAGAGCAAGGGTCCGAATGGCCTCCAGGATCCGATCGCCGCAAACTGTGGGCTCGAGGATCTGAATGTGGGGGCGCGGGTGCAGCGTGCGCGCTCTCGGTGCTGGAAAACGGCGGCTCGCCTATAGCGATGGGCGGCCGATTTATACACGAGGCCCCGGTGGCTTTGGACGGGGAGCATATCGTGTGGGGAACGGGACACGAGAGTGTTGCCGGGGATAAAATGCTTTTCAGTAAGTGTGAGCGCTCGTGAGCGGGCACCAGACTTACATCTGCACAGCGACCGGCGGGGCGCGACCGTGAGACAGAGCAGGCAGTTTTGACGGCGTCCCGGCCACGGCGGGGCTTATCTTCCCTTGAACGCGGGGGCCCCGTCGTCGCTGCGAAGGCGGTGGCTGGGCTGGACGCTGAGCGGAGATCCGTGCAGGCGGGTCCCGATTGCGGCGTGCAGCACAGTTTGAACGACGCGGCAAGAAGAGATTCATGGCCTGTGTGGTCTTTTTTCACCTCCGAGAAATGGTCCACGATCCCGCTAACAGCTGGGCCGAAGAGGCCGGTGGGGGAGAGCGGGGCGTTGAGGAAGACAGCCCGCTCGGATTCCCTCATGTCGGCGAGCGTCAGCCAAAGGTGCCTTTCTGTGACTGTTAAGGAAGCCATGCACCGTCCAAGAGCCTGGGGCGCGGACTTCGTGGCGCAAAGGGAGAGGTCCGTCGCGCTGCGAAGATCCGTGATGGCGGATGGGTCCGAGCTCTTCTCGTCCAGTTCACGGAGGAGATCGGCCTGGAGAATCTGCAGAACCGCCATGGAGTGCAGGGCTGAAGCAGTCTTTCCGGCGGCGGCGAAAGCGCGGCCAACAAGGGCTGAAGTGGTCCTGCAGGCCTTAGAGGGAGCCTTTGAACGGCATCCAGAGGGCGGGCAAAGGTGCGCTGCCACTGCTTCTTCCACCAGGGGAATAGAGTTATACCCCTTCTCGACGGCGCCGTCAACCTGAAGGGGGTCGCACCCCGAACGAGAAGCGCAGCGCCGCGCCACGTCTAGAACAACTCACAGGTATCGCACACCGGACGCGCACATTCTATTCTCGCGAGCTCAATTTTGAATCAACTCCTGGTAGAAGTCTAGAAGAGCTGCACGATGCTTCCTCTACACTGCTGACTTCCTTATGTTGTCTTTGAAAAATCTGTGGTTTATTGCAAATATTTCAGGGTATTTCCCTACTTCATTGAGTTTTTCGTCGTCCATTTCGCTACGCCACTATGCTACAGAAATTACCTGAAGTGTGTTGTGACCTGTAAATCCAGTAGGTGGCAGTACACGACCGTGAATGTAACCACGAGAGGCAAACGTTACATCGCGTATGCTTTTAATATTTCACACTGAGGTTAGAGCATAGACAGTAAAAGAAAGGGTTAGAGTATGGTTAGTATGGTCGAGTATTGAAAAATGGCACAACAGGGGAAAATGAAAGATTTAAAAGGGCTATGTTTGTTATATGACGATTTGAAACAAATAAATGTAAATTTAATATACAACTATGTAAATGGCGCTCTGTGGCGCGGCAGGGTTTTGAACAAGGTCCTGAGCCGTAGCTGGGCGTCGCGGACAGACGCCGAATGGCGCCGCCGGTGTGTGTACACTCAGAGAGAATATTGTGTTCGAATTTTAAAGACATGGCGCTGCGCAACGCGGCGCTGCGCTTCTTGTTCGGTGTGCGACCCCCTTGAGAGAGCGTCGAGGAGGCATGCGAGCGGACTCTCGCGGAGAAAGAGGCGTTCCACAACTTTGAGTGTTCGGCGTGGAGCTCCGGTAGGAAGGGCGCAGTCCTGGATGCGGGCGCTTGGCGGCGGCGATGGAGGAAGTATCCGTCGAGCCTGTTCGGTGCGGGCTCCTCAGGCGCTGACCACTCGAGGCCGAGTTGATCGACAGCCTTGGTGAGGAGGCGCAGAAGCTCCGCATCAACGCCGGCCCGAGTACGGCCGGCCTCCTGGACTGACGAGTGCGAACCGGACCATTCTTCGCTGTCAGATGCCAGAAGAGAGCAGCTGTCAGCGGCGGCGTCCATGTTCAAATCATCCGCCCTGCGGGCGGGAACCGGCGGCTGCGCGTCAGAGAGGAGGGCCGGGGAACGCGAGAGAGAAGCTCGAGGGAAGGGTTCCGGCAGGCTTCTGGGCGCCAATTCGGTCTCCGGTGGTCTCTGGGAGCGGCGCTTCTTCCTGCGCGGCCCAGCAGAGACAGGCGGAGTGGCATCATTGAAGAGCTCAAGTCGAGCCCGCAGGGTCGACATTGAGAGTTCTTCGCACTCAGGGCAGCCGCCCGAGGAGAGTGCGCTGGCGGCGTGCTCGCGGCCCAGGCAGAGAGTGCAGATGAGATGGCGGTCTCCAGCGATGAGCGGGGCCCGGCACGAGCCGCAGATGGAGCAAGGCATTTTGATAACGATGCCTTGCGTAGAGGGTGCGAAGGCTCACCGATAGGCTGCTGCATTTGCCGCAGGACAGCCAATGAGCACACTTACTCAGTCTGCTATGGTCTGCTGTCTGCTGCACTGCGTTGACAATAAATACAAAATTAAGGATAATTTTTGGCTTCAGATCTCGAGAAAAGATGACTTTACCCGTAGCGTAAGCAACTTACGCAATACGAGAGAACCTCTCGTAAGAGAACTCTGGATCAAAACACAGGCGAACAAGAAACAGAAACAAGCGATAGAATGTAAGCAGATGCATGTGTAAAATAACACAATGATTCAACATTAAACGGCATATAAATCAAAACTGCAGAATGTTACCAAATGAAATGTCGACCCAGGACGAGGTATAGGACTGTGCAACCTTACAGACAACACAATACTCTGGTGGCCATGAAACTTGGGAAAATTATATTAAAAGAAATGCTGGCGCTGGCTGGCAACTTTTTCAAAAACGTTGTCGGGGAAAGAGGCGATTACTTTTTTCTTATTTTTACCTGTTTTCTTTTCATTTATTTTTACATTTATTTGTGTTCTTTTTTTTCTTTTTTTTTATTCTTTCATGTAATTATATTTTAATATGTATTTATTTTATAACTTATTTTGTGAGGGAGGCAGTCCTTGCGTAGCTCAATTGGTTGAGCACAAAAACATTAAAGAATAAATAAATAAAAGTAAAAAAAGTAAAAATAAATACAGAAAACAATAAACGAAGAAAGAAAAGTAATACAAAAATAAAGTCAGGATTAAAAAATGTAGTTATATTTGTTTTTATCAAGTAATTTATTCCTTTATTTATTTTCCTATTATTACATTGATTGATTGATTGATTGATTGATTGATTGATTGATTGATTGATTGATTTTTAACTTTTGCAGGTTTGGTTCTCATTACACATTCCCCTACATATACCTTTCCAAGTGTATAATTAGCTCTAATGCACTGATTTGATTGAAATCATAAGCAGTACAACAAAAACTGCTATGGTGTGCAAATTATTTTTACATTTCAATGTTATAATTCTAAAACATATTTTATATAAACTTATTATTATATATGGATTCATTAAATTTCCTTAAACATGCCTCATCTATCTATTATTTATTTATTTAAATAAGACCCATACATGATCTTTTTGGCATGATACAGTTACAGTGAATTTGTATACTATGCTGTTTGATTGCAGGTGCGAGTGTTCACGTTCTCTGTTGGTCAACACAACTATGACACAGGGCCAATAAAGTGGATGGCCTGTGCTAACAAAGGTAAGTGTTGCTTTGCTCAGTCTGTGTTTGCCCCCTAGTGGCTGAAGTACAAATATAATTCTCACATCTCAAAGCCTCTTTAGCAGGCTCAGCATTGGAATGCAAAATAAAAAAACAATAAATGGCACCATGATGCTATGTTTTCTAGGATATTTCTACGAAATCCCTTCCATTGGAGCCATCCGCATAAACACACAGGTCTGTATGACGCCAAAGCGTTTCTAATGTGATTTGTTTATTTTGATAGTTTCTCTTGTTTAGAAGTATGTGAAGGTCCAAGGGTGACCTACATTTGATTGCTTTGTGTTGTTTACTGTTGTTTAGGAATATCTAGATGTTTTGAGTAGGCCGATGGTCCTTGCAGATGCTAAACAAGTGCAGTGGACCAATGTTTACCTGGATGCTCTGGTACAACCTTTTTCAACAAACGTCATAGAAACCATGTTATATGTTTAAAGCGTGTTATATGCTTCATTGTTTTCTGTGTTCTCTTCATGACCTCAGGAGTTGGGCCTAGTCATCACAGGCACACTACCTGTGTTCAACAAGACCAAATCCAGGGTGGGAGGATCTCGGAACCAGGTCAGTCGTTTATCTGGATTTTCCAGCTGGTTTTCCTAGTAAAATAGTTTGGAAACACTCACAAATTCTTTATTATCACTGCCTTTTATGATTCAGGGTAACCAAACAGGATATACAATCTGGAATACATCAGTTTGATATATACATTATAGATGGGCCTATGCATTAAATACAGTACACTGCCATTCAAGAGTTTAAGGTCGGTGAGAATTTTTTTTTAATTCTCTTTTTTTTTTCAAGTCACCTATGCTTTCCAAGACTAAATTTATTTGATAAAAATACATTTTAACATATTTTAAAATTCATTCATTCATCATTACTCCAGTCTTCTGTCACATTATCCTTCAGAAACCATTCATATATGCATTTCTTATTATTACCAATGCAGAAAATGGTCATGCTGCTTAATATTCTTGTGGAAGCCATGCTTCTTTTTTTATCAGGATTCTTTGAGTAGAACATTCTAAAGAACAACCTTAATTTATAATAATTTGTAATAATGTTTTTATATGTATTTTTTTCTAAATAGGCCTACGTGTTATTTTAGTATTAATTTCTTAAAAAAAAAAAATCCTACTGAACCTAAACCTGAATGGTAGTGTATATAGTGCTTGGTCAGTTTGCATATATCAGCAGTATTCAAATGGTTCCATCTGGGCCACGGGACATTTTACCGTTTTTACAGATTAAAGCGAGCAGTGCGTCAAAACAATGGTGCTGTACACCGCACAAGTGCTCAGGGTCGATTACAGTAATAATATTCCGGCGCTACATCCTCGAATATTTTTTTCCGTTTGGCATGATACCGTTTCTTCTCTCTAGACGTAAAGTGCCACATTAAGAGCTGCAGATGACGTGGTTATTTTAACAACAGTAGCATGAACACGGTGAGCAGCAAAAATAGATACTTTTGCTAAAATGCTGCAGAAAACGAGAATGCAGCAAATACAATTATTTTTATCTCTCATATAGATGACTCCGACCGTTTAGGCCTTTAGACTTTTTGTTTTTTTCCATACATTTAGCATTATTAATCTGCATATTAAGAGCATTTCATAATAAACAATGTTATAATTTGGAATATTATTTAGAGATGGCAAGGGAAGACTTTAAAATTACTAATTAACTTTGTTTTGTGCTCATGATGAGAGGTTTGATTATTAGATTATTTACGTTTTTTGTTTTCAGTAGTTTCTAAAAATGGTCCATACCTTTCTTAAGAGGTAAAACCTGCACTCCCATGTTTTCTCAGTCCCAAGGCCTACTATGTTTCATACACATAGGATATATTTACAGGTATGATAAAAAAACAAAAACAAACACTGCTTTAGCTCTTGGGGTCCAGTATTCTCTAAATTCTCTATATTCTTTAATTACTATTTTGAGTGTTTAGGTTTTTTTTTTCTTTTCCAAAGTACTACGGTTGCCTCTGGAAATTAATAAATGTTCCAAAAAAGTATTGTCCAGACCTCTGGGGAGGAAATATAGAGACTCTGGTACACATGAATGTACCTCAAAATTTATTTTTTAAATGAATTCTATATATGTAAAAGGTTTGCATATCGTCTTACACTAACAGTGGCCCATATAGAAAATTAAAAGATTATTTTTGATATGTTGTATTTTGATATTATTAAATAAAATAAAAAATTCAGTCTCTAACTGAACAAACAAGTACAACATTTCTAATTGTGCCCTACAAGTCAGAAGCAGGAATATTACATTCGAATGAACACAGAACAGAACACCAGATGTGTCATTAACAAACCCAATTCTCTATTAATAGCTCGATGGTTGGAACAAACTTCTATTTTTGTCACGTTTAATGGGGATAAAGCTACTACTGACGCAAACGTGTAAACTTCATTATCTCTTGAATGTATTAACCATGCGGACAGTGACCTTCTTAGGAACACTACGATAGTAACAGATATGGAAAATAAATATCATAGGGTATCTTATCCTACACTTTCCCAGTTGGAGGTCAAAGGATCAGTACGTTGTCTACTAAACCGCTTGACCCTCTGAAAGTTGCCATTACTTTCCGCTTGCTGACTGCGTCACTGGGTTCTTTGATAAGCTTAATATCCGTTTCCAGTATGGATGACGAGAAGCCATTTAGACGTGACACTTTGTAACTTTGCAATGTTTCATAGTGGTTATTTTTGCCAAGTTAAAAAGGTTTGCATGTTGTTGTTCTACTAACTCTTATTTATTTGCAACTACATGTCAACTATCTCTAATTAGAGTATTAGTAGACTAGTAGGTTAGGGTTAGTAGAATAAGTTGACTGGTACTTGCAATGTTACTTATATCAGTAGAATGTCTGTTGGAGGACCATCAAAATAAAGTGTTAGCAGATATTAAGCAGACAGTCTACTAATACTCTGTTTAGAGTTAGTTGACATCTAGTTTCAAAGTTACTTATAGTTAGTAGAATGTCTAAAGAGGACTATCGAAATTAAGTGTTACCCATATTTTTTTGTAAATGTCTCTCCATTGCATGTCAGAGTGGAAATTTAGTGTTTTTGATTTCTCTTTTAGCATCAGAACCAGTTGATTTTAGGAGTGATGGGGGTGGATGTGTCTCTCGATGATATCAAAAGATTGACGCCCCGCTTCACAGTGAGTACCCAAAACAAAAACGATTTCAACTCAAATACTGTCAGCATTGCATCTGGTTGTTGTTCCAGTCTCATAAAAAGACTAAAAAGGGACCTATTTAAGGGATTAATTTTTTTTACCTAAAAGCTGAAAATTCTGTGATTATTTACTCTAGGACTGCGCCGACTGAATACATTTCTAGTCGTCTAGTAGTCGTTCATTTAAGCCATTAGTAGACTATTAGCACATTTATATTACTTAAATATATACTGAGGAGAATACTAAACCATAATGAGCGTTTAATATATAGGCGTAATATAGCCTATTCTGCGCTCAAGCGCACGCATAAAGCTTACCGCAAAGCGCCAGCAAAATTAATGACCATTATGCATGTGTTGGGGAAAAAATAGCAAGGAGAATTTTTTATTATTTATTAGTAAACTAGTTTTTAAAGTCATTCACAGAACTCACATTACCCAAAGTAAAATGTTCAAATTGGGCCTACACAACACCCATATCTGTTCACAATGCACTTTAGGTAGCACAGACGACTATTTGCACGCCATGTGGCATTGCCAACCAGTTCAGTCTTTTTGGATTACAGTCACTGAGACACTCTCCACCATCATGAGCCACAGAATCCCATTATCCCCAATACTTTGTCTCATAGGCGACCTTTCCGAAATCCATATCTCACAAAAATATAGGAATCCGTTGCTCATCTCTCTAGCTGTCGCTAAGAAAGTAGTTCTCCAAAACTGGAAATCAAAGAAATCTTGCCACATCAATCACTGGATAAATTTAATCTCAGAATATATTTCAATGAAGAAATACAACGCACACAGAATAAAGCAAATATCAGCCTTTGAAGATATCTGGTCCCCCTTTTTATACATTTTTTACATCTTGACATTTCTCAATATGGCACAAACATAACTATAAGCCGTGTATATTACCAGACACATACCTCACCCCTTCTGTTACTGCGGCTATCACTTCATACATACATATAGGCATACACTATCCACACTCATGCATAACATGTTTTCAAACCCATTTTCCCTCAAACACCTTAACCGTGATCAACTAATGTACATCTCAGATCAACAGGAAAAAAAATTATTTGCTCAAGTTGTGTTTTTTGTTGTTGTTGTCTGTCACCTTGTCGTGTCCTATGTTATGTGTTACACTTTGTACATGGTGCTATAATCCCCCCTTCACTTATGTACCCAGGGTCTCACTAAACGGGGTGAATAGTTACGCTATTCATAGTTACTGTAATAGTAATAGTTACTTGAATAGTTACTGTATATACATTTATTGTCTGTATTGTAATATATTGTGTATATAATTTTTTTGCTTTTTTTTTTTTTGTTGCTTTATTAAAAATAAAGTTGTCCTCCAAAGAGGAGGGGTGGTGGCGGGCAAAAAAAAAAAAAAAGAAACTAGTATTTTATGAGTCGGTATCGGCTGCAAATATGAAGATGATGCTGACTCGCCATCCCGGCTGTGTAGTGGACAACGCCTATAGAGAGAAATGCAACTTTCATATGGATTACATGACCAGAGAGTATTTCTTTTCAATTTGAATTGGTTTGTTTAAAAGTAGACATTTCAAGCTTTCTATAGATGTATTTCTCATGCATGGTTGGCAAGATGCCTATACGCGGAGTTTTCGGTTCATTTTTGTGACGCGCTCCACCGAGACGGCAGAAAGCAAAGTGCATCCTGTTTGTTTTCTTTATTTTACAAAAGCACAATTTGATGTTAATGTGAGTGTACCCAAATAAAAGTACAGTTTCGAATGATGTATTACTCTTATCTGTATGACCAAAAATGACTCGGTATTTTAAGTTGTTTCCGCTGTTGTTAGGAAAAAAAATGCAAGTGATCGCGCCGGCGCCTCCATGCCATGAAGCGTGCTAATACTTTAGCTTCCACACTAAATATGCGCCTAATAATAGCGCATATTTATCTAAGTTAACGTAAAAGTGAGCGGCCAAGTAAAGTTTTGAGGTCGATGGATGATATGCGAAAATATGGATTTCCTGTCCGACATACTGTTATTGCCACAAGGACCCGCCGTTAACGACCTGTCCCTCACGTACTGTATCACGAGTTTCTTTTGTTTTTTTTCTGCAACCAACCGACTAATACAATTTTGGTCGGCTAAGCCTCTTCTAGTTGACTAACGTTTAGTCTACTATTAGGGGGCAGCCTTGATTTACTCACCCTCTAGTCATTCCAAACCCAAATCCGCCTTTTTTCTGTGGAACACAAAATTAGATGTTTCTATGAATGTTCACACTGCTCTTTTTACATAAAACAAATGCAAATGAGGATTTGGCTGATGACAAGCTCAAAAAATGACAAAAAATCACCACAAAAGTATAAAAAAAAAGTGATACATTTTGATACTTTCTTTATTTTTTTATGTCCCCAAAGAGCAATTGGTTTTGTAGCAAGACCAGCATACAAAAAAAGACAATTTACAATACAATAAAATAAAATAAAATAAAAATAAAATACTACTCAAGACAACAACAGGACCAAACTACTACCTACTTTCATGTCCACTACTGTTCAAAAGTTTATAGTAATTTTTTTTCAGGAAGGACACATTAAATAAGTCAAAGGTGTGTAAGTGTTTCCAATATTGTTAATAACAAGAAATGTTACTTCAGCAGCAAATCAGCATATTCAAATGATTTCTGTAGGATTAAGTGACACTGAAGACTGTAGTAATGATGCTGAAAAGTCAGCTTTGCCATCACAGGAATAAATTACATTTTAAAATATATTAAAATAAAAAAAAAGGCACATTTTAAATTGTAATCATATTTTTACAATATTACTGTTTTTATGGTATTTTTAATCAAATATATATATGATAGTCTTCTAAGCATTTAATAATCTTACCAGCTGCAACATTTTTAACAGTAGGCTAGTGTAGAATAAAATATAAAGTGTCAGATGTGTCGCACCAGTTTGACGTCAAAGAAGAGATGTGAGAATTGTATGGCTTCAAAATACTTGGAATATAGTGCATAAATCACACACACACACTAATTTTATGGGGCTTTTATGATACTTTCTTCTCAGATTTGGTGGTTGACAGCCCTATTCACTTTCATTGCATGGGGAAAAAAACTTTAGAAAAAAGAAAATCTGGTTTTAGGACGGCGTGAGGGCGACGAACGGCGACGAGTTTTAATTTAGGGTGAACTGTTCCTTGAACGCTAAATAATTCGATTTATAAGGGAACAAAGTGAAACTCATGTGTTAGATGTTTTCTTTGCAGACTCTTTGAGTCGCTGTAATAAGAATAACACGGCATGCATAAGATAAATGCGCTATTGTTCTGCGGTCTGCCGTCTTGCGGTTTCGCCTCCTTACAGTAAGATCGCTCTTAAGAGGACGTAAGCCCTTGTACATTACATCTGTTTGTACTTACATTTGATTTGTAAATGGTTGTGATTTTCTGTTAAGCTCAGAGGAATGTTTCCAGATGAACCGACACATTTGATTAACGCTAAGTGCTCAGGGGTGATTGACAGCTCGGCTCGGCGTTCTCAGGGGATATTAGACAGTACCCCGCTAGTGAGGGATTAACCACCGCATCTCTGAGGAACCAGGTCCATTTGGTCTAAGCAGGGATTTGGGTTTGATGGTGGTCTTCTTATTCTATGTGTCCTCACTATTCTCCTTTTTCTGTTTTGTTTATTTCAGATTGGTCCTAATGGATATTATTTCGCAATCGACCCTAACGGTTACGTGCTGCTCCATCCAAACCTGCAACCAAAGGTACCGAAGCATTTTCTCCACCCAAATACCTCAAATATGACATCACAGCACATTTATGACAGATGACGAGGTTTTAAGGTTGCTTGTGGTGGAGAACCATGACATGCTTGTCTCATGTTAAAATGTTTCTTGCTTGTTTGACATCTATTTGACGCCTGTAGTTCTTGTATCTCTCTTTCTTTCTTTCTTTCTTTCTTTCTTTCTTTCTTTCTTTCTTTCTTTCTTTCTTTCTTTCTTTCTTTCTTTCTTTCTTTCTTTCTTTCTTTCTTTCTCTCTCTCTCTCTCTCTCTCTATATATATATATATCTTTATCTCTATCTCCCCTTCCTTGTTTGTGTATATGTGCTGCATATTTATATTCATTCTCACCTCTTAAATCATGTATTTATATCAAGAACGTAACCAAAGTTTGAAGACTACGCCAAATTGAAATCCCAAACTGAGTATTACTATTCTGAATTTTCTCCTTCCCAATATAGATGCTATATTAGATTTGACATGGATGTTAAATTAAATATAGTGTCTACGTCTATCTTTTTTTTTAATCTTCAAATAAATGCTGTTCCTTTGAACTTTCCATTTCTCAAAGATTCCTGGAAAGAAAGAAAAAAAACACTGTTTCCACAAAAGTAATGAGCAGCACAAATGTTTTCAACATTGATGATAATAAGTTTCTTGAGCACCAAATCAGCATATCGTCGCTGCCCGATGAAACTCACGTATGTCCAAAACGGTTACTTTTCAGGAAGGGAAAAAAACACCATAATTCAAAAGCAGTTGAACGTAGCGTTGTCATACTTGGTACGGCATCTTTAAATGTAACCATATAATTACCAGTGTAATGATATAATCCACATTTGACCAAAATCGAGTTTAAATGGACATACGTGCATATTTTACAGTAACGGTGGTCGATACGCGTTCTTCCGATCATTAATTAGAATGGCCAAGTCGCGTTTCATATTGACAGATGAATAGGCTACGCTCAGTTTATTAAATAGCCTACGTCTCAGTTTATTAAATACGCTCAGTTTATTAAATGTCTCTTGCAAACTATGAAGGGACAATGAATCAATACACTCATTGCTGAGCCCAGGGCCGGCGCGTCCATATAGGCGAACTAGGCTTGCCTAGAGCGGCACTTTTGTAAGGGCTGCAAAATGTGGGCCAACCGGGAATGAACAATTCACAAAATAGGCTAGGCTATTTGATCATATAATCATACATAATCAGAGAGTAGCCTTTTTCTTTTCGTTTTGAATTATTTCGTTTAAAGACTTTTCAAGCTTTGTGCATTTGATGTATTTCTCATGTCTGTGTGAGGCATACAAGGTTAAGTTAGGATGAGATGCGCTCCAGTTAACGTGCAATGCAAGTGACCGCGCGGGCGCCTCCATGATTATATTGTCTGCTATATATTTTCTTCTTATTTATTGAATCCACTCCAGGCAATTGGTTGATGAAAAATGGATTCAAATTAAGATACAATTTATACAAAACGAAATTCACTTTAAAGAAAGGTTTTCTACAAAATAAAACTTAATGAAGTGGTCAAAATCATGTCTGACACTCCATGTCTCAAATTGTGCATCCTATTACTCGTGCTGTTCACTTTTCATAAATCAACAAAAATGGAAGAAAAAACAACATAATATTTTAACAAATATGAAACTAAATGCGCTCATTTAATGGCTACAACAGTATAGTAGACCTACAGACTCTTTTTGTATAAATTGCTGCACATTCATTTAATTCTGAATTTTGCACACACAAGTTGAAAGGCTTCAAATCATGTTCACGGATAATTGTGGGTGCATTTATTAATCATTATGATACTAAAACAATAACAAAGTAGGCTATGCTATGTAGCCTACAAAAAAAGCTGCACCCTTTTTTTTACATTTCATCTTTCATTCCGAAATGAACGAAAAAGTACACCGACCCAACATGTATTAGCCTTTTTACCCGTTATCAATCTAAATTAATCTCGTTTTTAATTTAACTTAATTTCGTTTTTCTTTATTTAAATTTCGTTTTTTTCTTTATTCAATTTTCGTTTTTTCTTTATTTAAATTTAGTTTTTCTTTATTTAAAATTCGTTATTCTTTATTTAAATCTACCCTTTACTGTGTCAGTAATTTATTAGTCAGAAAAATATTAGACTACCTTAAAAGTAGGCTATTGTTAACAGACCCGTGCGTTAACATCTCAGTGACAATTACTTCCTCTAGACCATTTACCGGTAAATAACAGTTGTGAATATATTGCGAATATATAATAAACTTGAACAGTGTTGTCAAAAACAAACATTTGCTTATACTTTACCTCACAGAGTTATTCGGCTATACAATCCTGAGCTTCCAGAGACGCTTAGACCTGCGAGATTGCCTCCACAGGGCGGGAGATACGCGGCGTGATTGACAGCTTTGACACCAAATGGATATACGTGGAAATCAGATGACATGATTTCACAACTTTTAATTGGTCATTTAGACATGTGAAGCATACTGTATACGGAAATGAACCTGGACATTCTATCCGTCGAAAAATCTCAAAATCGGCAAAATGGACATACGCGGTTTTCATCGGACAGCGACGATATTAGGATCAATGTGCCTATGAAGACTGAGTAATGATGCTGAAAATTCAGCTTTGCCGTCACAGGAATAAAATACATTTTAAAACAGTTATTGCAAATTGTAATGATTTCACTAAATGATAAATTAAAAGTTCTGTCAAAAAACTCTAAATGGTTTGGCACAGGCCGATAGGTCCTTAACTCAATCTGCTTGCAATCACATCTTTCTGTATAGGGCACAGCTGATTGGATACTGCTGTATCAGCAGCCAATGAGCTTGCTGCCCAACTTTCAAATACTTGGTCAGCGTCTGTTTAGCAGTTTGCAGTGTGCTTTCAGAAACCCTCCACCTTCCCCAGCTCCACCTGTATAGATCTGCTACAGGTAATTCATGTACGCTATATTGTACAGCAGCAGCATGTTTTACTTGCTCACAGCAGCAGCAGTGTAGTATAGCAGATCTATTTCTCCAAGACCAAACATATTAACATACCATGCCAAACCCTTCGAGAGTTATCATGACATAACTGTTTTACTGTATTTTTGATCAAATAAATGCTGCCTTGATGAGTATAAGATACTTAAATGTCTTACGGACTCCAAACTTTTGAACTATAGTGCAATCTAGAGCTGTGCAAATCTTATCAGATATGAATATAAAGCATTTTTATCTCAATATTGCATTGATGCTTGAAGTCATTGTATCAGTATTTTTATTTAATTTATCTCCCACAGTTCCACCACATAAGAAAAAATAAATCAATTTGGTAAATCAGAATTCTGATATATCAAGGTAATAATTATTTAATACAAAACCATAATTATTAGATAAAATGTCTTAATTATAATATTCAAAATAATAATTATGACAAAAAGTTGTGATACAATTTTACACTTTTGCCAATTTTACCGATATGTTGTAATATTTGTCATATTTATTTGTGTTATTTGATGGATATACAGTAGGTTTCCATATAGGTGATGCATTGAATTATGCGTTGCACATTGCAATACCCAGGCCTAATATTATCCCTTCTGTTTTTTCTTCCATTCATACGTTTTTATAGTTAAAACCATATTACATTTGTCAATCTTATGAAACAAACAGGAAGATCAAGCAGCTGCGAGTGATTCAGCTCATATCATTATTGACAAGTGTGTATGACCTCATATGTAAAGCTATAGATTTAGAATGTATGAACATGCATTTGCGGTGTGTAAACAGGCGCTCATTTAGCTTTTCCTTTGGATCGGAGCATGCAGCCCCTTACCTTCAAATCGCCCAAAGTAATACACGTGCTTCTGGCAGCGAACCTGCATATATGTTTCTCAATGCAACTCGACTACAATTTTTACATATCTGTCTATTTGCAAGTCCCTTTGATTCTGGTATCCCACCACACACATGGGCCGGTCTGTATTTCATCTTTTAAGAATGTGAAGGAGAAAAGAGATCACGTGTGTGCGTTCAGGGTCATAGTTTATCCTCAGTCTGGATGGTAAAAGCACCGTCTATCACCTAGTCTCAGACAACCCCAGCCCACCATGACACCCTTGCATGTTAAGGAGGAAAATGCATTATATATATTACGTCTGGTCGGACATAGATTGCAAATCGTTTAGACATTTTCTGATTTAAGCTCAATATGCAATCGTAAAGAGTTATATATGCAGGGCTCAACAATGAGGATGACTCGGGGGGCCAGTGTAAGATCTTCAGTTCACCGTAAACATTTGGTTTAGTTTGATGTATTTATGTTATGTAATTATAATTGAAGGATGTATCCAAGGTAACGTTATCTAGCCTGCTAATGTAGTACTTTGTTGGAATTTGTGGAGAATTTGACTGTGATAGTAATGGAAGTGTCAAACAAATCAGTAATGTTTTGCACCATACTGTATACCATTCCTTTAAAAAAAAAAAAAAGTGTTTTTATGACAATGACAATTTGACAATGACAATGACAATTTATTTATACAGCACTATTGAAAACAACAGCTGTTGACCAATGTGCTTTCCACATAGACTCACAAATCAATAAGGAACTTTATATTTAAGTAACATGTAAGCACATATAAAAACACAGTCTTTAATCAAAAGCTTTTGAAAATAAATATGTTTTAAGTTTGGATTTAAAAATAGTAAGAGATGGTGACTGTCTTAAGCTAATTGGGAGAGTATTCCAAAGTCTAGGTGCAGCGTTGCAAAACGCTCGATCTCCTCTGCGCTTTAGCCGCGATTTTGGGGTAGACAGTAAGGCCAGATTTCATAGTTATATGAAATATACTTTTTTTTATGTATATGGGCATTTTATGTTTTTAGTATTATTGTTAATCAAAAACCTTTTGAATTAGCTCCATTATTTTATTAATTGTATTAAGTACATAACAATTATTTGTCTATTTTTAAGAAGATTAAATC